TATCATTGAAATTATACAATATTATTATTATTATTATTCAATTAATTGTATTAATTGTACGATCGATCAATATAAGTTTATACTGTATAAATTATATTTATATATGATAGCTTAATAAATTAGTATAAATTAATTTTAATATAAATTTATATAAAAATTTTATGTGCATATACCGTAAACTTATATATATATATATATACAGTATATATATACTGTACTTAACTCGCTAATATAGATACTAATTAACATGGTTATAAAATTAGCTTAATTAATAAATATAATATTTATTTTACAAATATAATATTTATTTTACAAATATATTGTATATGCATATAAATAATGTATAAAATGTTGTTTATATCATATATACAATAATAATATATTCTATAACTTTGTATATCATTCCCGGGATTCACAAATATATATATATATATATATATATATATTCATATATACATTCATATATATATATACATATATGTAAAGGGTTTTATATGCTTATGTTTGATGAAATGGTTTAGCGAGGGGGGAGGATGGGTCGGCCGGTTAGCTAATAATGCAAACAACTACTAATACTAATGCATTGTTGAAAACTAAATAATTTACTGAATCATTTTCATTATCGAAAATATATTATTTTTTAAAAAAATTACAATAATTATATATACAGTTATATATACAGTATTTATTATATGTTTTTTGATAAGTGTGTGAAAGTTGAGTACACACTGTCACACTTTATTTTTGCAAAAAAAACATTGAATTTAATTAAAATCTAATTATATTTTGTATCAAATATCAGATTTAAATAAAAAGAAAACATAAATTTTTATTGTACAATAGAAACCAAATAAAATATTTATTATGTGTTTATATATATATAGTTAAAATGTATAAACTTTGACATTTGTTGCTTTTTTTTGTTATATACAATATTTCTTAATTTAATATATCAATATATACTGTATAATAAAAATTAATATATATTTATATATTGTATCTTATTTTGTTGCAATAATTTTATTAACAACTTATATTAATATATATATTTTTCAAAATTTATTAGTATCATATACACTATATATATATATATATATATATACTGTATATATATAATATATAGTATATTTATAAAGCAAAATGCGTGTCTGATAGACATATCAGTTAAATTTTTTAGACAAAATATTATATATATATATATATATACTTAAATATATATATAATAATTACATATATCATATTACAAACATATATCCTATTGCAATATATACATTAGTATTATTGACTTAGATTATTAAAAAAAGTACATACATTGAAAAATATATGTCAATTTTTAATTTTATTGACAATTTAATATTATAATTTGATTTTGTTTTTTTTTTGGTAAATATATCCGGATAATATTTTTTTATTTAAAAAACTATTTGCATAGTCAATGTCGTCAACAATTAATTTGCTAAATCATATGCTAGCCGTCTATATTGACATAAACAATGTATGACAACATATGTGTTTTTTTTATATTTTATCATCAAATTTAATAACAAACAAAATATACTGTATTTTTTGTATACTTCTTATATTATTATTATTATTATTATTATTTTAGCTAACTTTTAGTAACTATCATTAGTAATTACAATGCATTATTTATTATCTCATATGAATAAAAAAAATAATATTTTTGAATTAAAAATATTAATTGCAAAAATATTATACAACAACTTAACAAAAACAATAATTTATATGATATTAATTATATCAATATATATATATATATATATATATATATATACAGAATATATGACAACAAAAACAATATCAAAAATATTGTATATAATTAAAATTACAATTAATTTATCTAGAATTATAACAAACTTTTTAGTTTTATTTTGATTTATTATAAATATATTTTTACTGTATATGCAATATAAATATTATTTAACTTAAAAATCATTAAATATTACTAATCATTAAAAAATAATAGGAATATTCTGTTGCCATAAACAACAGTTCATACCATACATACATACATATATACATACATACATACAGTTAGTTACTGTACATACAGTTACGTACAGTTATAGAGTTCAAGTTCATGAACATAATCAATAGCACACATACAGTGTATACCTACCTATATAAACAACAATTGAATTTTTTTTAAAAATTGAAATTTTCTTAAATATTATTTTACTCATGTTTTTATTTATTTTATTTTACATTAATTATAATATAGACATAAATTGTTTAAGCTAATAATATGTTAAATTTTATGTTGATAAGATAAATATCTAAATTATAATTACAAAAAAAAATATAATTAAAAAAATGACTACTTATTTATTTACAAAATATTTGCAAATATARTATTTCAATTTTTTGTTGTTTTGAATAAATGCTTTTGAGATAATTAAAAAAAAAAAAAAAAAAATTTCTACATTGTCCTGGATAATAATAATAATAATAATCAATTTATATATAAATATCAAATTTTATAATATAAAAAAAATTACTGAAAACTGTTGACATTTTTATTTTTAATAGTTATGTATATTTGTAAAAACAAAAATTTTCAATTAAAATAAAACATTTTTATTTATTTTTATATATATATAWAWAAAATACTACATTAATACTATAATTTGATAATTGTCTACTAATTGTCTCAATTAATTTAATATTATATAATATTTTTAGAAAACATATATATAAAAATTTTATTAATTAAAAATTATTTAAAAAAACAAATCTATATATTTTATTAATTATCTGTAATACTATGAAATTATTTTTTTATTTCTTAAAAAATAAATTTTCTAAAGAAAACAAAAATAATTTACTGTTTTTATTAACCGTTAAATTTTTTTAATTCAAATACAATGGGAAATATTAGTAATAAACAACATTTATTTCTAAGAAAAAATAATAATACATTAATTGTATTATTATTAGTAGTAGTATTATTATTATTAATACTTCAATAATATTAAAGCAAAAAAAAATATAAAAATTTGTAAAATATTAAATATAATTTTTTTTTGTAAAAATACATTATTTACCGGATGTTATTAATGTAACAAATTATTACAAATCATATTAAATTATAATTGTATTTTGCACTCAATGAAAAAAAAATCATAATTTTTATTTTAATTCTAATAAAACTTAAATAAATATATTTTTAGGTAACTAAATAATAATAATAATAATAGATAAATTATTTGAATTTTAAAATGCAAATTTTATCAATTAGTATAAAACTTAAAATTTTTAAATTCAAATTAAAATCACTATAAATATACATACATTATATAAACACATTCAGTAAACAAAAATTGATTTTTTTAAATTATTTTGCATTAATAAAGATATCGGAAATTATATCATAAATATTTTCTTTTATATTTTATATTTTGCAAAAAAATAATATGTATTGTGAAAAATTATCTGGCTAAAAATACAATTTAAATAAACAAATATATATATATATTATTATACATTGTGTTAAAAACATACCCATATATTTTAATGTCAACAATAATATCAATAACAAAATGAATATATATATATATATATATATATAAATATATTGTATTTATTTATTTATGAATTTGTTGTTTGATTTTTAATATATTTTTAATATATCAGGATTTTTCATGTCTAAAAATAAACACTTATTTTTCACCTTTTAAAATGTCAAATGTTTATATACTATAACAAACATTTAATAATGTGTTTGTGTATATTATATAATATATGTTATATAATATATACAATACATAAAATTCAATCATTTTTTTCCGCAAATAAACACATTTTCTTTATTATTGTGTTTATTAGTATATATTTTTTGAGATATAATATAACACAAAAATATTTCTCACAATTAGACAAATATTTATCATTATTATTATTATTTCCAAATAATCTTTCAATGTTTCTGGTATTGCATTATAAATATAAATAACATTTAATAATACATTTATTTTAGTRGGAAAAATGTGAAAATATTTTTAAAAAAAATATTAGACGTAAGACAAAAATGCAAATATTTTTATATTATGTTAAAAATGTTTTTCTATTATTATTATTATGTATTTTACTATTARAAGTAATATATATATATATTAATGTATAAGTTATTTATAGTAATAATTAATACTGTAGTCGACACATATAATAATATATCAACTAATACAGTACATCCCTGTAATGTTAGGTAAATATTTGTTGAAACAAATTGAATAGAAATGATTATGTAGTTATTATTTTTTAAAAAAAAAATAACTAAAAAATTTTAATAATAATAATAGTAATAATAATTTTGAATGTCAAACATACAATATATGTATAACAATTTTAATAAATATATTATTATTATTATTATTTGATACCCACACCTGATTGATACAAAATGTTTATTCATTTGACAATTTTTTGTTGTAAACTATTGATAAAAATTATAAATTGATAAATATATATATATATATAAAAAACATATATATAAGCAAATAATATCAATAAACAGATTTTTGAAAAGCAAAAATATTTGTGTGTAAAAATAATTGTTTGTAAAATTAAAAAATAAATTTTTATTTTTCTCAAATACTTGAAATAAATGTCAAATTGTTTTTTTGATGTTGTTTGTGGACAATATTATTGAAAAATATTTTTTGGTTGTATATTATATATTATATAAAAATAAAAATATAAGTCTAAACATACAAAAAAATAGTTAATATTTTTACAATACTATTAAATATATATTAAAAAACGTATTATTTTGGCATAAAATATTGGGTATACAGTATTTTTTATAATATAAGTAATATTTTTATAATATATCTATATATTTTATAATATATCTATATTTTTTATAATATATCTATATTTTTATAATATATCTATATTTTTTATAATATATCTATATTTTTTATAATATATATAGTTATAATACATATATTTATAATATATATATATATATATATATTATTTTATTTGTACACTTTTAGCGAGTGCTGGATCCGGGGACTCATTGTGTTGATTGTGCCGTACAATAGTTGCTTACTGTCCAACAACCGGGCCTCCCGTTCCTTGTAATACACGATATAGATATAACTGGTTAACAAACAGCTGGTTCCCAACAGAGACAATACGATCCCTGATATTATGCTAAGCAATGTTTGATTGTCAGGTGTTAGCTCTGTATAAATATATATGTAATTATAATTTAGAAAAATATTTTAGAAATAATAATAAATTTGTAAAAAAAATTAGTATTAAGGTTTCTCAGGTATAAATCAAGACTATTAAAATTATTATAATATTTTTTAAAAAATAAAAATATGATCTTAAATAATAGTAATAATAATTATAATAAATTTGTAAAAAAAATTAGTATTAAGGTTTCTGAGGTTTAAATCAAGATTATTAAAATTATTATAATATTTAAAAAAAATATGATCTTAAATAATAGTAATAATAATAATAATAATAATAATAATAATATTATAATAATAATTATAATAAAATAAAATTATAATAAATAATGTATTAGTAAAAAAAATAAGTATTAAGGTTTCTCATGTTTAAATCAGGACTATTAAAATTATTATAATATTTTTTTTAAAAAAAATATGATCTTAAATAATAGTAATAATATTAATATAATAATAATTATAATAAAATTATAATAATAATAATAATGTATTAGTAAAAAAGTATTAAGGTTTCTCATATTTAAATTGACATTTAAAAAAAATATGATCTTAAACAATTATCAAGGTCAACAATATTTAAACTTTTTTTAAAAAATAAAATTTTCTTAAACATCACTTATATGGTTTTTTTTGACAAATTATTTTTTTTAAAAAATAAATGTTTCTTAAATATTATTTCTATGGTTTTTTTAACAGATTATTTAAAAAATTAAATTATTTAATAATACAAAAGTCAATTACATATAAGTGCTAATTGAATAATAATAATATCTAGGTATGTGTTAGCACCCACCTACTGAACAGGACAGTTGACTTTCATCGAACTGGCAGTTAATATAGGAATCGCATCGATAGATATCATGAATACATTTACGGGGTTCGCATAAAAAGTAATGTTTTGGACAGTCGTCGTCATCGTCGTCGCCAATCTCTACATAAATATATATACAAATTATTATTAATAATAAGTAATAATAATAATTAATAATAAAATAATAATTAGTAACAAAATAATAATTAGTAATAATAATAATAAGTAATAATAATAATTAGTAATAAAATAATAATTAGTAACAAAATAATAATTAGTAATAATAATAATAATAAGTGATTATTATTTTATATTTAGTTATTTCCAAAAAAAATATTATTTTATATTATATGCAAAATTATATACAATTAGTTATATACAATAATAACAAACAAATGTAAATCTATGAGATAATTAAATTATAAAAAAATAAATAAATAATTAAAATTTAAAATTTTATGATTGCCTGCAACGATGCTGACCTTTACAAATGTTAGACAATTTTATTTTATTATATAAATATATATATATATATATATATATATATATATAGATAACGTCTAATAATATGATAATTTATATTTTAAAAACTATTTTTTGACAAAAAAAATATATTTTAAAAATTATAAAAAACAAAACTTTCTAATATTAGGTAATATAAAATCTATGATATAGTTTATACTTTAATTTGAATTTAACTTTTTAGCGGCATTTAATTATTTTTACTTTTATTTTTGTTAATKTTAAAATGTTAATAAAACTTTATAATGTAGAAATAATCTCTATATAWTTATACTATATTAAATTATATAAATTTTATTAAATTTTTTTGTTTGTTTGTTTGATGTTTTATTTATGTTATATATTAAATTGAATAATAATTCTATATAAATAAACTGTTATATACAGTATATTCTAACTAATATATTGATACTGTACTGTATTAGACAAATTTATGCCATTATATATTATATTATATATATATATATATATATATATATATATACAGTAATATTAAATATTATAACTTATTATAATTTATAAGCAACTATTTGACGTCAAATGTGTAAATATATTTACTATAAAAATATATATACAATATATTAAACATTTGAAATATTGACATACTTTAGCTTATATTTATATAATATCTATCATACAAAATAAAATACATTTAAAATAGTAAGTAGTTTTGACCAAATAATTATCATAATTTTTTTTATATATATATATATAAATATTTTATACATTTAAAACTGGACTTTTGAAACATTCAAGAAAATTTAAAACTATAATAATTAGATAATACTGTAACTGTAATTACAAATGTATAGTAAAAACTAAATACTGGACTCTGGATTTTTTTTGAAAAAAATAAATTTAGTATGCAAATAATAAATTATCCTGGCTGCTAATTTATAAATATAAATTGTCACCTAACACAATTTAAAACATATGTCATTATAAAAACAAAAAATTAGATAAAAAAAATAAAACTATCAAATATATTATTTAATAGTATTATTTAATAAATTATAAGTAGAGTTCAATTACATTTACAACAAAAAAAATTATCTATTAATGTTTGCAAAATTTGTTTTAATTATATTTACTAACAAATTAGAAAATATTATTTTAATTATATAAATATATATATTATTTATATGTTATACTTTACTACAAAAAAATTACTTATTTATTAAACTAATTAAACTTATATACAGTATTAATAAATTACATTAAAATTGTAGAATTATTCATATATTCAAAAAAATAATTTGAGTAAAATTTTAATACAAACCTCTATAGGTTGTGATAATTAATTGCAGATCATCTCCCAGACCATTGAATTCAATGGTAACCTTTCGTCTATCATTATATTCAGTGATAACAATACTGTTATGACTGTTCAGATGATGTTGGCTCCGGTAGGCGTCGATCATTGACTTGCTATTGATGTTGACCTTATGGTCGCCGCCGGTCGTCGACTCGATGGTCACTTTGCACGCAATCTTTATCAGAGATAAACCGGCTGTCGATGAGTTGTGTTTCAATAGTTTTATGATAAGAGAACTGTTCAGTGGATCCGATCCTAACATTATCTTCGAGTCGCACAAGTCTTCCGCGTAGTCTTTCATCAAAATTTTTTTTGAACAAAAAATATTTTTTTTTAATTAATTAATTAATTAATTCAATTGATTTTTGTTTGTTTGTTTGTTGATTGGATATTAGAATATAATAGAACTAAAAAAAAAAAATTACTTACATATGGGATAGTCGTGTTTTGCACAGTTAGCATTGGATTTTAGTAAACACAATAAACTAAATACTAATAATAGTAGACTGGCTAATAAATTGTCAAACAATACAAACATGTTTGCAGACTAGTAATAGTAATAATTAATAATAATAATTATAAAAATATATATATATATATATATATAACAAATGTTAGCACTGATTATAAGTATAAATTACATGTTATTAAAAAAATGTTTGTTTTTTATTTATTACTTTAAAAATCAAACTTTAAAAAAACAATTATTCAATATTCAAAAATTATAACCAATTTTTTTAAAAACAAAATCTATTAATTGATTTTTGTAATAATTTCGTGTTAATAATTTTATTTAGCTATCAATAATAATAATAATAATACTGGTATATTGCCATTTTAATTAAATAAAATTTTTGCTGATAAACATTTTTTTTATATATTTTGAAAAATACATTATCAAAAACTATAGTGTGTATACACATACTATTACTATCATATATATATATATATATATATATATATATATATATATATATAAATAAGTAAATTAATTGATAAGAAAACACAAATATATATAATATATATATACATAACAACAGCACATATACACAGATAGATGAGCACCAGTAGGTTGTAGTGGTATATATGTATATACAGTACCGTACAGTGAATATTGACCCTCAAAAATAAATATTAAGATATCAAGCAATCGTCTAAAAACATTGTGTTGTTATATCAATCAACAACAAAAAAATACAGTAAAAATAAATTGTAATTAAAAATAAATTATTTTTATGAAAGCMATAACATGTCAAGTGATTTAATGTTTTTTTAACAAAAATATTATGAATTATTAATAATTTATATCAATATATGATTTCAATGTTTGAAAACAATTTTAAAAGGAAATACCAGATCTAATTGCTAATTGATTTATACACAAATAGTTATACATTTTTATAATATAATATTATTCAATAATGATATTAATATTGTGTTATTGTAAAATTTAACTATCAATAACAAACTATAATAATGAATTAGCATTTATTTAATTATTATATAATTTAACGATTAATATAAAATAATTTTATAATATTTTATTTAAAAAATTGTTCAGTATTTTTTGATTATAAACTTCAATTAATAATTTTTAATTAATTTGTCTTAATTTAGACAAAATTGTTTTTTTTATAATTTTAAATATAGTTAATATTAATTAATTGATTGAAATATATTTTTTTAATCCACAATATTGAATATTAATGCACTTAATATATATAATATATACTAAAATATTTATACTTAATTAGTTATAATATAGTATTAAAAAAATAATTTTATTTAATATTTATATAATATATTTATAATTCAATTAAATAAGATTAACAAATAAAAATTAATATTATTATTTTATTTAACATAATTTTTTTTATTGATTTATCAATTACAACAATTGTAATATAAAAAAATATTTAACAAATCTTTTATAGAGAGAGAGAGAGAGAGAAATTTTTTTTTTAATGATATGGCATATGATTCTTGGTTTTAATAATTTATTATACAGTAATGATAATAATTTGATAATTTACTTATTATTATTATTATTATCAAACAATAATGAGCTCAATTTGATATAATATTTAAACAATTAAAAAAAAATATTATTAATATTATTGACAAGACTTTTTAAAAAAAAATAAAAATACTTTTCATTGAATGATTAAAAAATCATTTGTATTTTAAAAAAAAAATAAAATAATTGAGTTTAAAAATAAATTGGGACCAAAAAAAAACAAACAAAATCACTATCAATGTCTTATAGCATTGAGTGTCAGCAAAAAATATATTTATATATATATAAAATAGATATTTAAAAAAAAACTTAATTGTCATAAATTATTATTATTATTATAACAATAATAATAATATAGATGTAAAGCACTTGAAAACTAACTTATTTTTTTAGTTTGCTTAAATAAATAATAATTTTTCAATAATAATAATAATAATAGTTATTATAATTATCATTGAAATATATATATATATATTGTATTATACATATATATATATATAAATATCACAGCAATTAAATTGTAGCAATTGATTAGCTGGCGTCCAGACCCTTGTTGTCGATACCATTGGTTTCAGTTAAAACTGTTTTGCCATTGGGTTCAGTAATAATTTTGTTAATGTCAACCTTAATTACAACAAATTAAAAAAAAACAAAACAATTATTACAAATTTAATTGTTAATCAAAAAATTTCTAGATTAATAAAACAAACATTTAGACACATTCAAATAATTAATAGTTAATTAATTTATAATAAAATTATATAATAGATAATTATAAAATTAAGCTCTTTTATGTGTTTTACTATATTATTATTATTATTAGTAGTAGTAGTAGTAGTAGTAGTAGTAGTAGTAGTAGTAGTAGTAGTAGTAGTAGTAGTAGATTGTATTTATTTCATTAACCAATTAATTTGTCAAAAAATTTAATCATCATATATTTATTAATAATATATAATTTCAACCCTAACTCTATTGCAATTTCATAATAAAAAATACAAATAATAATAAAACTTCAATCAATTATTGATAACTCAATTGAATTATTAATAATATTAGATTGAAATTAGAAATCCTGTTTAATGTATATCTATTAATATATTAAAAAAATTATTGATATAACTAAAATTATATATTAAAATATGATTGGCACATTTTTATTTTATCATATAATTATGTAATAATTTTTATAATAAATAATAATAATATCTATTTCATCTAACAGTAACCCAATAGGTTAAAAAACAAAACAAAAAATAATAATAATAACAACAACAAAAATCAAAAATCATATAAATTATAAAATAATAAAACGTAGAAAAATAAATAATAGTTATTAAAGTTATATTTTAAATGATAGTATAATTAATTATAAATGGTTTATATATATTGAAATTTCATGATAAATCTTAACATAAGTTGGGTTATATATAAAAAATTAATTTTTTAAGCTATAGTCTCTCTTAAACAATAGTTAACTTTGAATAATATAAATAATTAATTTTTTTACTAAATTAATTTAACTAACTCTCTCTCTCTCTCTCTCTATTACTAAATAAATTAACCGATTAATGTTAATATTATGTTAACCATTGTTAATGTTAACAAAAAATAATAATAATAACATACATACACACACACACACACACACACACACACACACACACACACACACACATACATATATATATATATATATATATATATATATATATACATAACTAACAATTAATTAGTTAATTAATTTATAATAAAATTAAATAATAGATAATTAATAAAATTAAACTCTTTTATGTGATTTACTATATTATTATAATAATAATTATAATTATTATTAGATTGCATTTATTTTATTAACCAATTAATTGTCAAATAAAAATTTAATCATCATATATTTATTAATAATACATAATTTTAACCCTAACTCTATTGCAATTTCATAATAATAATAATAATACTAATACTTCAGTTAATTATCGATAACTCAATTGAATTTCAATAATATTAGATAATTTTTTTTCACTAAATAAGCTAAAAAAACTTAAGTAAATCTAAATATTAATTAGAAATCCTGTTTAATGTATATCTATATTAAAAAAAAATAATTATTGATATGAATGAATTATATATAAATATGATTGGTACATTTTTATTTTATCATATAATTATTAATATACCTGTATATAACTTTTATACTAAATAATAATAATAATAATAATAATAATAATATCATTTCATCTAACAGTAACAATAGTTGTTAAAAAAAACAAAACATAAAATTCATATGAATTTTATATAATAAAACGTAGAAAAATATTATTATAGCAAATAATAAATAAGATATTAATGAAAAAAAAATAAAGGTTATAATTTAAATGATAACATAATTAATTATAAGTGGTTTATAAATATATATTGAAATTTTTTTTTTGATAAATCTTTAAACATAAGTTGGCTTATATATAAAGAGTAAATTTTTTCAACTATAGTCTCTGTTAAACAATAGTTAACTTTTTGAATTATATAATTAATTGTTTGCCTATTATTATACGGTATATATATATATATATTTTAAAAATGTTAAAAATTACAGCAGCACTGGTACTATTGATGTGTGCGGCCGTTTTGGCTGACGACTGCTACGGTATAATCGAGGATCAGAGCGATAAGGGAAAGGCATTAATCAAACGGATAGTCGATTTGGTTAACGAAGTCGAGAAAAAAGACGGACAAACCATGACATACATCCGTATTATTGACTGTATGGGCGAAAAAGGTCACTACATTGCATACCTTCAATACTATAACCAGGATAATGTAAGTTTTACCCCCAACCCTAACCCCCCACCAAAAAAACTAACTACACATAAACTATATGGTGGTGGTGGTGGTGCTGGGTGATAGTTATCATTTAAAAAAAAACCCTAAAATTTTTATATAAATTGCTTTTATTGAACCCACAAATACTTGAACTACACATAAGCTAATAGTGGAGATAGTTATCATTAAATATGATTTTTTAAATTTTTTTAAAAATATTTAATTGTTTTGTTTTTTTTTGAATCTAGGTAAAATATTCATGCACCACTGATGTTGATCTTGTTGGCACTGATAGCTACAATCTGAGCAATGTTAAATGCCATCCCTCAAATTGAAAAATTAAACAATTGTTATTTTATAAGAAAATAAATAAATAAATAATTATTAAATTAATTAATAATTAATTTTTATAATAATAATAATAATAAAATACAATATATTTTATTATCATTATTATTATGAGAAAATAAATTAAATAATTAATTATTAACTCTCTCTCTCTCTCTCTCTCTCTCTATTACTAAATTAAATTAACCGATTAATGTTTGCCAAAAAATATAATAATAATAATAATAAACATAATTAATAAAATCTAGTCTATTGATGAAAAAATCAATTAAATTGTCTAAAATTGTTTTTTTTTTAATTTCTAAATTATATAGTTTAAAAAAAATATTATTTATTTTTTAAACAGTGTGTGTGTAACGGTGTAGTTATTGTATATAATTATTAACACTTTTTTTATATAAAGTAGTCGTGACTATTATCAGTACAAACATAAAAAAATAAATTAAATTCAATTATACAAACAAACAAACAAAAAATTACTGTCTATTTCAAGTGAAGTGAAACTTTTTTAAAAAATAAGTGATAACACATACATATAAATTACACATACATACATACATGTACACACACATACACACACACATACATACACAAACACACATACATACACATACATGTACACACACATACACATACACACACATACATACTGTATGTAACATACATGTACACACACACATACACACACACATATATATAAACATACATACATGCATATGCACATACATACATGTACACACATACACATATATAGACATACACATACAAACTAATTAAATTGTTTAATTACCTGTGAATTGGCAGTACTTTTATCTGTATAAACAACACTTCCGGACTCTTTAGTTTGTGAATGTTTAACATAGTGTTTATATAGCGGAAACATAACGGCTACTAATATCGCAATAAAACCAATGGTTAGCATTGAAGCCGAGGAAATGGTAGTCATTAGGCCGGGCATTTTGAGCGCAAATTTCAAACGATCGGTTAGATCGGTAGTAATGTTTGACGATAGTTCCTGCCAGAAAACTGGGAACACTATGTCGGGAACGTTACGATAGCGAAACATTCCCGGAGGTTTGTTAATGAATATGTTAATCTGTACGCGTACACTACCGCCTAGACTGGCACCAGTAGTCGGTTCGACATCGACGAAAAATTTATGTTTTTTCGGATCGGGTTTTAGTCCATCAATACTACGGGTGTACAGTGGATGAGCATCGAGGAAATGCGGATACGACATGATAACTGGTGCACCATATTTACAGCCACTCATATCGAAAACACCGGACAGGAACCGTAGTTTTCGTTGTTTTTTGGCATAATCTGTCTGAGTTCGGCCAATGCCGAACAGCGACGGATTGGATGTGGCCGGCAATCGGCTTATGTAGCACGAGTTTGGCGGATGATCGTCGGCATTGAGAAACGTTGTACTATCGGGTGTATACCTATAGACAGTGATACCGTATTTATCCAGTTCTCGCTGATAGTGTAGACGAATACGGCGGCAAAAATCGGGCGAAAACAGAAACAACTCTTTCGATTGGTCGCCGATCGGCGGATATAACTGACCATTGGTACTGTCGGCGAATGAATTGCATTCACTATTATTACGATAGTAGTCCAGTTCCCTCAGTCCTTTGAACCGGTCGATAATATTTAGCCGATCTATACTATCGCGACCGGTAAACACCGTATACTCGCCGTCGTCGCTGCCGTTCCGGTTGATTAGCCAACCGAATCGGCCGGCATTGGTACTCGGAATTTTCGGATTCAACATCGGTCCAAATGTGGTCAACAAATCGGGATAGCCATCGTACAGCAATTGTCTGACTGATCGCCGTATGAAAAAACCTTCGGTAACCGCGTCCAATGCCAGTCCGACCACTACACGTACGGCTGCCGGTGCATTTTGCAGTAGACTCAACGTAACCGCTAGCGGTCCGTTCAATGAGGTTACTATATCCGATTCGTTACCGATGCTCATCTGCCGTACAAAATAGTAGACCTTTTTTTCACGATAGCTAACTGTTCCGTTATTGTGATAAACCAATTGGGTTTTCCTCCATTTGGTACGGTAGGTGTACGGTCCCATTTCGGTGACCACCGGTTTGGCACCCAATCGCTCGATATCGGCTCCGTTGGTTACATTGAAAAAATAATATTTCTGATATATGGGTGTCTGTATGTCACGCCATTGCTTCTGGGTCTCAGTGTTGGGCTCTAATTGTAGTTTCTTTTATATATATATAATAAATAATAATAATAATAATAATAAATTAGTAATGTTTTATTGTGTTTAATGTAATATATTTTTTTTGAAAAAAAATTAATTCTAATTAATTATAATATTTTTTTCTCAATACAAATTGATAATGAAATTTATTTAAAATTATATCTAAATTATTATTATTTTTTAATTTTTTTTAACTTACATTTATTTAATTTAATTTAATTTAATAATAAATTAGTAATGTTTTATTATGTTTATTGTAATATATTTAATAAAAAAATTATACTAATTAACTCTAATATTTTTTCTCAATACAAATTGATAATGAAAATTATTTAAAATTATATCTAAATTATTTTTAAAAAAAATATACTTTAAGTTATATTTATTTAATTTATTATTATTATTAATATTATATAACTAATAATATAATATTATATATTTTTGCTTAGTTACTCAATATAACTCTATTTTAATATAAAAAGTAATTATCATAACTACGAAATTTTTTTAAAAGTAATGTTTATTTTAAAAACAAATGTGTTTTTTTAAATAAAAAAAATAGTCATAAAAATTAATTAACAAAAAATATCTGTTTATTCATATTATTTACACAGTATTTAATTAGCAAACAAAATGAAAGTTATTATTTCAATTATACTATTATTTTTTCAATAATATAACTTTAGATATCATAAGACTTTTTTTTGTAAAAATTGTTTTTATAATAATTATTTAAAACAATTCTATAATTTTTGTTTTTTTTAAAATGTAATTAATTTAAATTTTTAAATAATAAACTTATTATTATTATTTAGATATAAATCAGAAAAAATATAATGATTTAAGGATAACCTTTATTATTATTATTATTTTTTTTATTGTTATTATTTATCAACAAAATATTATTATTTTTATTTAGATATAAATTATCACAAATATTTCAGTTCAACCGCAATACCGTTGATAAATATGCTATTATGAAATATACTGTATATATATATATATATTAAAAAAATAGTTTACAAATACAGCAAAGTCACAAAATATTCAAAAAAAACTTTAAACTTATTTCAACAACAAAAATGATAAAAACATTTTTTTTTGTTAAAAAAAGTGAACTATTTATGAATAAATTATTTATGAAAAGTGTTACACAAAAAAATAAACTAAAAATATTATCATTAAAAATAAATTGTAAAATACTGCTGCATATTTATAAAAAATAAAATAATTGAATGTATGCCATATTATTATTATTTTAATTATTATAATACAAAATACAAATAAAATACAATATAATAACCAAATGGTTCAGTGACTGAATATTTTATACTGTATTATATATGGTATAGAAAAATATCTGTATATTAAATCTAAATAAAAAGCCTAAACAATATTCAATATATATATAGTAGTAGTATATTATAAATTAAAAAAATAAAATATGGATATACCTTATTAATGATTTTCATGACAATTATTGGCACAGTTATCAGGCATATGATGCCCACAATGATGAACACTGAGCCCAACCCTATGAGTATTAATTCCCGTTTGTTTATCGTAATTCTCATATCTATTTTAAAAAATATCACTTTATTATTATTATTATTATTACAACACTAATGGGTCCTATAAATACTTAAAATATTATATACTAAATAAACAGTTTATTTTTCGACAACTGATTCAACTAATAAATTAAAAAAAAAATAGTGACCACAAAAAAACTTATTTAAAAAAAAAGTTATTTCACAAAATTACAACAAAACACACAAAAAAGTAATTTGATTTAGATATCACTGTTTGCTTTTTAGTGTAAAATACTGTACTTTTTTTTCAAATTGAAAGAGACAGTAGTCTATTGAGGTTTGACATCATTTTTTCACATTCAAAGTCAAAGTCAACCGCACACTCCTTTAAAGTTGATGAAGATTTTGTTTTCACCCAAAAAACAAAAAAAAAATAAATAAATTTTTTCAATTCATTGCTAATTGATTTTGCAAAAAATGCTATGAAAAGAGTGTGTGAGAGAGAGAGGACTGGGATGTGTAAATAATATGGTCTGAGTAGTAGGAACGGTAGGTAAGTTTAATTTGAAGAAAAACACTTATTGGGTGTTTATGAAGCTATCGATGAGCTATTATGGGAGGGGAACTCCTCCCGACAACAGGGGAGACATCATTATCATCATCACCGCTACCTCATCATCACATGGCGTGTGTGTGTATATATACAGACACATAGACATCAATAATATTATTAATACACACAAAAAAAATTTTTTATAATCATTTAATATTTCCAAAAAAAAAACTTAATTATCGATCATTAGTGAAGGTTTTCATAGTATATAAATTGAAGTACAAAAAAAATCAAACAAACAAAATAAATAATTCAAGTCTACAATTTCAAAAATTATTAAATATTATTATTATTATTATTATTAGTATATTTCCATTGAATTAATTATTTGTATTGTATTATTATTATTATTATTATGTATATGTTGCATACATTTATATAATATAATTGTAAATGATTGCTGTGAATAATTATTTATAGATTATGTAATTTATTAGTCATTAAATATTATTATTAAGTATCCAACAAATTGATGGCAAAATTTTCCTCCAAAAAGTCAATATTGATTCACATTTTTTTTTTGGTTTTAAACAAACTTATTATTAATTATTTTTATTTAAAAAAAATAATTTAATTTCATTCTCATTATGACGTATTGAAAATACAAATTGTTTATTTAAAACATTTATAAATTAATATATATATAAATAATATTAATATTTCAAAATTAATAATAAGTTTTTTTAACAATTAATTATTAAATTATTAATTAAACAATTATCATATGATCAACATTTAAGTGATGTTTTTTTATTATCATCAAAACTATTATTATTATTATTAGTTTCCATGAAAAATATATTAATAGTATTTTAAAAATAATTAAAAACAATATCTGAATATATTATATATATATACTTTTATATCATATTTAAAAATTTGTATTTGTTTTCCAGGAAGAGATATTTATATATCGTATTTATAAATTTCATTAAAAAAAATTGAATATTATATTTCAAAAAAATATATAAATATTATATTTATTAATTTCAATTAAATTTATATAAAAWWTTTTTTTAATTAATTAATAATTTTAAACACATTAAGRGTTTTWTWTATATATWTATATATAATTAAAATATTAAAATGTTGTACACATATACACATTGATTATTATTTWTTTTAAAAAAAAACATATTATTTTATTAGGTCTTTGCCCAACACAGAGAGACAACAAAAACATGACTGAAATTTATTTAAGCAAAAATTAAAAGCCTAAACACACACACAGATACTGGTGCTCACACCATACCATACCAAACCAAACCACACCAATACTAGTCATATAATATATGAATGAATGGTTGGACGGGTTTACCTGTTGTGTACTACATATTGTATCTGTTATTATTTGAAAAAAAAATTTAGTTCACCTGATATTTAGTAGTACAGTATACTGTAGTAGTAGTAGTAGTAGTAATAATAATAATAATACAACCAATGTTTATAAATATATGTAAATGTCTTAACTTTGTGTGTATACAAACATTTATTTTATTTTTTTTTTTAGTACAGTATACCTGTCCTGTTGTACATTCAAATATATATATATACCTATGATATGCAGTGCACAGTGAGAGTAGTAGTAGTAGTAGTAGTAGTAGTAGTAGTAGTAGTAGTAGTGGTTAGGTTGTCATACATTTTTTTGTTGTTGGTTAATGTATGTATGTATGTATGTATGGATAGATAGATAGATAGAGAACCGGTTTCTGATTTATTTCTAAAAATATTTATACAATTATTTCTTTAAATACAGTTTAATATATTATAGTTTGTAATGTATAGTAAATGTATTATCATATTTGTTGATATGTTTTKAGATATAAGTATCAGTAATACCATCTACCCCTCCCYMCGSCCGATCTCTCCCCCTTATAATCCCCTTTCCTCCTGAGCTATCTCTTCTCCACYRAAAAAAAAAATCTTAAAAGTCATCTCCTGTTGTGTTGTCGTCGCTGAAAATTTTTGTYTTTTTTTTGTTGTTGWTGTTGTTGTCGACATAGAAAAACAATTAACAAACAAAAYAAAACTACAGTATTATCCAGTTTGTTGTCAGTCATGTAGACTCTRAACTGTATAACTGTATGAATGATTGACAGGAACTGGAGATCAGGTTTAATATATGTWTTTTTTTTAAAAAAAAAAAGAAATTTTTTTCAATTAATGGAAAGTTTCTCAAAAAAATAATTATTTTTTGTGTGMGTTTTCTCTTCAATTTTTTGATTTTAAAAATAAATACATTTATACTATACTATACTATACATAATGTATTACATATAGTAATATAAAATATATAAATAGTATATATATATATATATAATTATAAAATTTGTGATATGTTTTTAATAAAAAAAAACTTACAAAATTATACTTGAATTCAAGGTTTTTATAGCACACATATGATAACATCAATAATATTAATCTAAATATTTATTTTTAAAAAAAAACCGTATTTCATAATTTTAATAATTTTAATTTTATTGAACATTTCATTAACTTATATATATGTAAATCACAAATTTTTTATATATACTATTAWTTATAACTATAATATTAATTTCTGTAAWCCATAACTTATTGGACGATAAGTGTGAATTGCATTTAATAAATGCAATAAATTATAATATTGTATATAAATTGTAGACTAAAATAGACATCAAAAATCTGGTTTTTTCAACAATAACAACAACAACAAAAATAATGGACAGTTATGTTAACTTTTACTTCCAAGTAGAAAACCATACTATCCTATCATAATATCTAATTATATAGAGGGGAGAGGGAGTCCYCCCCGGGGGGACAGTGCCTCACAAATCTTACGGTAAGTAAACATCTATTTAATACAAATAAAAAATTTTTTTTRAACATCTTTACTKTAAAACTATTGATATATATAAAAGTAGGCCAAAAAATAAGGTCTACTACTACTARTAGTAGTCTACTATTACTTATTTAAATTACTGCTTAAAAATTTAAGTGATAAATCAAATTTTGTTTTTTATATATATATATATATAAATTTTACTTTTATTTTGAAAAACAACAACATAAAAAAATTGTTTAAAAATAAGTTTTACTTTTTATTAGCTTACATTTARAAATATAAAATTAAATTATATAACTATTTATATATATATATATTTACCGTATTTCCTAAATGTTTGCACWCAAAKTAAAAGTTATTTTACATTATTTTTTTTGCAACAAATTGTTGAACAAATATAATGTACATTAACTRTATAATTAMATATATGAAAAACATATATTACTAATATTTAATCTGAATGTTAATACATTATTATTATTATTATTATTTTTAAAAACAAAATTAAATAATTAGACAAACAAAAAGTAGTGTATATATCCTTATTGTTAAAAATATACWAATAATTCAAGGATTTTATTTTTTTTTTAAATAAAAACATTTACTATATTTTCATTGTCAGAATTTTGTGAAATATTGAGAAAACTTGAAATTTGATATATTTTTTTTAATAATTTAATATTGATATAAAAAATATTTAAAAAAATAAATATTAATATGTTATATAAACTATATCATTAAATAAATTAAATTAATTAAATATATACAGTATTATTAAAATTTATATACATGTATATATATATATACTGTATATATAGTATATCATTAAATCACAATATTTAAAAATAATAAATTCACTATTATTATATTTTATATTTTAGCTATGGTTGAAATTATTTTTAGGAACCATAGTTTAGAATAAKTTTATTTCCTGTAAAATTTGTTTTTTTAAATATGAAAAATWTTACCATCAAGGTTAAACAGTGTTTATACAGTATATTTACATTTAAACTTTTACATTAAAAAATTGATGAATGTCAAGGATTGATTTTATTTGTTTTAAATATATGATTAAATTACTTTTAATAATTAATAGTAGTTTAATTATAAAATTTTAAAAATTCAATTTATTAGTTATCATTTTCATTGTAATAAATAATAGTTATTTGAATATTACTATAATAATAATAATAATTAAAAAATATTACAGTATATTACACATGATTAACATATATTTTTTAAATATTACAAATAATAATAATACTTATAAAAAAYTACAGTTATTTTGTTTTAATTTTGATAACATAGGCTGTCCGCAGCTGATCGGGACTTATGTGTGGAAATGTAACTATTGTATGACCACCAGTAGTACTGGTCCTATATGTAAGATCAYCCGTCACTCCCAACATCTGTACTGAACTAATACTATTGAACGAAACGGATCCTAACTCGACCTCATTATTGTTGGGCCAAAACAAGACAATTGCGTAAACGGTATTATCTTTATGGGTATACCTGTAAATAAAACAACAACAGTATTATAACAGATAATATTTATATAATACAATGTTTCAAACTTTTCAGATATATATATWTAAAAAATATAATTATAAAAAACAAAAATATTATGACTACTCCATACCAAACACCTTTAGTTATGGTATCGTTTGCTTGAGTCCAGGGACGGCTAGCGTATATGGCYTCACCATTAATACCTAACCAATCGCCTAACTGTCGGAGCCGTTCCTCATATATTGGATTAATTGTTCCCTCTTTGGTCGGACCAATGTTTACCAATAGATTTCCTCCACAACTAGTAATCATAACATTTAAAAATGAAAATATTATAAATTTTTTGATTAAAAAAATTTTCTTATAATAAAATGTTATTATTATTAGTTAGTTAGTTAGTTACCTAACTGTTTGTGCTAGCTCAGTTATTATCTCCAATGATGTCATATAATTATCAAGGTTAGCATTGCGCCTGTAGCCCCAGGTCCCTTTGCTTATTGTCATACAGTTTTCCCATTTGTGCGGCAATATCTTACCCGGTTGATAATTATCGGCATAATTATAATARCCTCCGTGTTTGCCATCAGTACCGGCACCTACCCAAGTATATGCAAATATAATACAAAAAAAAATTACRAAACAATAGTAAACTATTTTAGCACATTTGTTTTGTTGWTRACATACCCCATCTATCATTAACCACAACCGTATCTTTRACGGGACTACCGGTAATTAATTTAGTAATAATAAAAAATTATTATTCAATTTATAGTAACTGTTTGAAGTACAGGTATGTATAGGTATATACCTATCATTGTAAAGCCATGCAAGAAATTCCTCACTTTTCCAATACTTTGAGTCACCATTTTCGGGATTGTCTGACCAAATAATATCGGGTTTATACGTGTTTACCAATTCATATATTTCCGGTAATGWTTTAGTCTATATATATATATATAAATAATTATAATATGATAGCAAACATTKRTTTTATCCATTTATAATTAATTTCATAGATAATAATATTTTCTTAAAAAATAGTTTATAATTAATTGATAATTACATTAACAAARTKTTGTGTTTTATATTGATTTTGTTTGTCCTGTTTGTACAATGGATTAAACCATTCAATTAGCGAGTGATAGGTTCCGAATCTGAGACCCGATTCGCGGACGGCTTGAGAGAGATCGCCTAAACATGGATTCAAATTAATTTTTTTATTATTATAAYTAATAAATTAATTTAATTTAATTGAAATTATAATCAAATTGTTATCATTTTGGTTATCAATTACCGACTAAATCCCGATTGGGTCCGACATCTCTGGCATTCCAACTGTACGAGTAGTTTGACGGCCATAGAGTATAGCCCTCGTGGTGTTTGGTGGTCAGCACCACATACTTGGCACCAGATTTTCTGAAAATAGTTTTTTTTTGGTTAAAAATAAATAATGGTTTTAAAATTAGTTTTTTTTAAAAAAAATAACAAATTGTTTGTCAAAATACTTGAAAACTTCGGCCCAATGTTTGGGTTCGTAAAATTCGGCCGTAAATTGATTGGCAAAGTCCTGGTACGTCCAGTTTGGCGGATAGTTTGCTGCCATAAAATCTTCGACAGCTTTGACCCGTTGTTTTAGGTCATCCGTACGCCAGTGAAACCTTTTTTTTAACCCCCCATAAATGTAATCATATTTTTTTAAAAAATTAAATAAATAAATAAATAATAGGTTATGATTTTTACCAAAACCACTCGTCCATAAAAGATGGTACAGAAAATACACCCCAATGTATAAAAATACCCACTTTTGACTCGTCATACCAATCGGGAAGGGGTCGGGAGTCTAACGATTGCCAGTTTGGTTCATATCGGGCACTGGTATGCAAAATATTTTCACCACTAATCGATTGATTTAAAATGAAAAATTTAATTAACAAACAGAGACAATAYTTTTGTTTATTATTTTCAAAAAAAACAATTTCTCTGTTTTAATATATATTTAAAAATAAATATTAATATTAATATTWWATTAATGTTTTTATAATTATTTTTAAAMAATAATATCTACTTTATTTTTTTGTATTTATTAATTAAWAAAGTCAATGAAATTTAGTACAATTATTATTATTATTATTATTATATCAAGTCTAGATAAATTGTACCTAAATTTTTAAAACTTTTTTTTTGATGAATATTTTTTTAAAAACTAATTGAATGATACTAAAAATATATACTAACAATYTATAGTATAGTAAAAAACTACATTTATATGATTTTATTTTATTTACAAAATAATTGTTGTCAAGTGATWATAAATTGGTAATTAATTTTTTTTAAACATATCAGACCAACGCTAAGTATATATATTTTATATATATTTTTTTGTTATAAAAACAACAAAAGTTTAATTGTTTGTTAATTTTCTCACATTATTATTATTAGTATTATCAAAAATATCAGTTTTATTAAWAATATTGAACATAATATATATATATATTTGATTAACATTATCATATTATTATTATTATTAGTACATATGTYTMAAATTATATAACAAATTATAACATTAATTATATATTTAATATTTTTGTTTTATTTGCTAATAAGTTGAATATATTTTTAAAATATATGTTTTTTAAAAATTTTTTGTTATAGAGATGACACTATTTTTCTAAATTACTGTACAATTTATTCAACCCTCATAATTATATTTTTAGATAAATAATTAATATTTATATTTAAATAAGAAAAATTAGTYAAAAATACAAAATTTTTTATTTTATTATCAATCATAATATTAATACAAAWATATTCAATAATACACATTACAATAATTATTATAAATTTTACTAATATTTATCTATTATTAAAAAAAATCAATAATTATTTTATTTTATTTGATATTTATTTTCAAAACATATGCTGTAGTTAGTAATCTCGGATTAATGTACGGAAAAGTTATTAAACTATGACCGCCAGTACCGGCCTTATAGTTTAGATTACCGGCCACTCCTAACATTTGTATTGTATCGACAGTGTTGTATTGGACAGACCCTAACACCAATGTATTATCTTTAGGCCAAAACAATACTATGGCGTAAACAGCCTTTCCTTTTTGTGTATACCTTTAATTTTTTGATARTCATAAAAATTAGTTATTTTTTTAAAGTCAAATATTAATATTAATAATGACTATACAAACCAAACGCCAGTTGTTGTCGTATCGTTTGGTTGAGTCCACGGATGACTATCATAGATAGCTTCTCCGTTAACCTGAAGCCAATCACCCATTTTTCGTAGCCGTTCCTCATAGATAGGGGTTATAGTGCCCTCTTTGGTGGGCCCAATACTCAACAATATATTTCCACCACAACTATGCCAATTAAATTTTTATTGTTATTATTATTACTTTAAAATATTTATAATTTATCACTAATTAATTAAAATAGCACTTAAAAAAAATATGTCAAATACCTAACAGTCTCGGCGATTGCAGTTATAATTTCCAGATCAGTCATATAGTCGTTTAGTTGAACATTACGCCGATAACCCCAGGATCCCTTTCCAATATCCATAGCCCGTTCCCATTTATGTGCTAATATACGTTTGGGATTATAATTGTCGGCATAGTTATAATAGCCGCCGTGTTTGCCATCGGTTTCAACTCCTATTATATAATTATATAATAATATTTGAGTTTATATTTATATTATTATATTTGAGTTTTAAATTTTTAATAATATTAATTAATTATTAATAATTAATTTAATTTAATTTAATATTAAATTTATTTTAAATTATTAAAATATTAAATATATTTTAAATTATTAAAATATTAATAATTATTATTATTCATATATCTATATATTTACCCCATCTATCATTAACAACAACAGTATCTTTAATTGGACTAAAAAAAAGTWTAAAAAATATAAATAATTTTTTTTTAAAAAAAATTTTTTTTAATATATAAACACACCTTTCATTGTAAAGCCAAGCAAGAAATTCCTCACTTTTCCAGTACTTTGAGTCACCGTTTTCGGCATTGTCTGACCAAATCAGGTCCGGTAGATATGTGTCGACCAATTCGTGTCTTTCGGTCAACACTTTTGCCTAAAGAAAAAACAAAAAAAAAATATTTCATTCAAAMGAAAATTTAARAAAAAAATTATTTAAAACATTAATTAWAATAATTAAAAAAAAARTTTTGATTATCTACTGAATAATTAATTGCTTACATCAACAAAACGCTGTGTCTTATATCCCGACTGGACGTCCTGTTTGTAGAGCGGATGAAACCATTCAATAAGCGAGTGATAGGTACCGAACTTAAGGCCAGCCGTTTTTACCGATTTGGATAACTCTCCTGTTTRTTTRTTTTTGTGAATATATTTTTATTATTAATAATAATTTCAATTTCAAAAGAAAAAATTAGTAACTAATAACTTTAAAAAAAATAATTTTGCTTTCAATTACCGACTAAATCCCGATTGGGTCCGACATCTCTGGCATTCCAACTGAACGAGTAGTTTGACGGCCATAGAGTATAGCCCTCGTGGTGTTTGGTAGTTAGGACCACATATTTGGCACCGGAAGCTCTGTKCAAACAACAAAWAWATATATAWAAATAATAATCTATAGACTAATTGGTGTTAATTTTTTTTCAAAAAAAAATTACTTGAAAACATCGGCCCAATGATTGGCATCAAAGAACTCGGCGGTAAAATCTTTGGCAAAGTCCTGRTACGTCCAGTTCGGCGGATAGTTGGCTGACATAAAATCCTCGACAGCTTTGACCCGTTGTTTTAGGTCATCCGTACGCCAGTGAAACCTAATTAAAAGTAATTATTATTTTTTATAAAATTATTTTTTTTAATTATCTATTAGTTTTGTATTATTAAAAATATAAAAAAATTTAATTATGACATATAATTTCTATATATATATATATATATATATATATATATAAATTTATATATAAACACATACCAAAACCAAGCATCCATATATGATGGGACACAATAGACACCCCAATGTATGAATATACCGATTTTTGCCCTATCATACCATACGGGTAATGGACGGGTATCTAGCGATGCCCAGTTAGCTTCATATTTTGTTACAAATGTGTTATTATTATTATGTGATCCAAATACTGATACAAATAGTATCTGATTTATAACTAACAATAAAATTGTTTTGCATAACATTATTAAAACTAATATGATTTATAATGTATATTTAAATAATTATTATACAATATTTATAATACTTATTATTATATATATTATTTTYGATGTGAAAATTTTTTGTTATCAAACAGCTATTCAATGTGTTTTTACAATCAATAAACTCTAAAAAGATATTATTCTAACTAATAGTAAATTATAAATTATATTGATATCAACAATATATTTATTTCCATATAAATAAATTAATTATAAATATTAAAAAAAATATTAAAAGGCAATAATATTAAAATAATTAATTTGTTTATTAATWTTTTATTTATTTAWTTATACAATTTTATTTTGTTTTATGTTATTAACAATAATTAAAATAAATATTACTAATTATTATTATTATTATATATATATATATAAATATACATGTATTTTCATTTTGAACTGTTTATTTGACAATTACAGTATAATTAATTATTTTTTAATTAAGCTCAAAAATATAATTTCGTTTAATACTCGTATTATTAATAGTTATTATTATTATTATTATTAATATATGTAACKTWATATATATATATATATATATATATATATATATATATATATATATAGACTGTTTAATCAGTATTTACAAAAGTATTTAGTTTTTGTTTARAAAATACAATWTTTTTTTAAAAAACAAAGTTTTTAATATCTGACTGTTTTAAAAATAATATAATTTAAAAAATTATATTTTCATATATTTTTTTGACAAAATATTTATCATAAMTGATAAAATCATACTTTTTTCACAGKTTTTTTGAGTAAATTTGATTTWACTTAAAAATCAAATTTCTATTGATTGATTTGATTTGATTTTAAAAATCTGCATATTTTTTATCTATATATATATATATATATATATATATATATAAATAATTTCTTGTAATTGTATAATTAAAACATTTCACATTTTTTTGTTCAATAAAATTAAATACAAATAATTATTTGTTTTTTTCGAAAATATTATTTACATTAACAGTAAACCAATTTTATAAAAAACCAATTATATTTGAATGTTTATATGAATGATATATCATATATATATATATATATATATATATATATATATATAATCAAATAATATGAATGATAAACAAACAAATGATAATACAATAATAATAAAAAACTATTTACAACAACAAAAAACACAAACARCTGAACAAAAATAATAATTAAAAAAAACAAAACACAAAAAAAAACAATTTATAAATATATGTAAATATTRTTTGTTTTCTCTCTCTCTCTCTCTCTCTCTCTCTCTCTCTAATAGTTGTGTTGATATGATAGTTGTTTATCACCGGACGGATCATTTGATACGACATTGATCTGTGAGGTCGTGTCCGATATTGACGACGACTCTTCAGACGACTCCTCAATATAGACGGTGTCCTTCTCTTTGCGTGCCGTTATCTTAGGCGTCACACCTATTAATAGGCGCTGTAATGGACAGACACAYACACACACCGATAGTTAGTTAGATATTAGCAAATAATAATCTAGTTTTATATCATTTCTTATATATTAAAAAATAAATACCTCTTTTAATGTAAGCGATTGATCCGTTTTGACAAACAAAAAGTATAGCGCATACAATGGTATACATATGATGGATGCACTGGCCATTAGCCAACCGATCAGTTCCCCATACCAGGGATACTCATAGGTATCGGCATACATGACCTTTTCATACTTGATCACAGAAAACAGGAATATAGCCTAAAGTTATTTTATTTTAAAAAATAAATAAAAATGAGGTTTAAATATACTAATAAATAAGTTATTATTATTTTTAATAAAAATTATATCAATATATATATATATACTGTCCACTTACRGCAATATATACCGGTGCTAAGCCRACCCAACAATAGTAAAACCACCGCCAGGGTCTTTCAAATTAATAGTAGATTAAAATTTAGTATTAATTWTTTTGAAAAATAGTTAATTATTATTTTAAATTTATTATTATTGTTATTATTCAATACCTAAATCCAAGCATATCAGTCATCTTTTTATAGATATTTGTGGCACCTATAGTATCAATGTTTTATTGAATTAGGGATTTATAAAAAAATAACATATATATCATAAGTAAGTCATACCAAACACCCAACAGAGGCCAACAATTTCGGCAAAGACGACCAACAATAACGAGAAACCACTGGCACTGAAATAGTCCATTAGCTCAAAGATATACATACCGCCGCCGGTAATCAATGGCAAACCCAGACAAAACTGTGCGATAACTACCGATAGTGTAAACAGTTTACGGCGTGGCCTCAGATATCGGGGCCACTCGTCCACAACGCCCGTCACAAACGCTTCGACAGTACAGAACTGACTATCGATACCSAGTATGAGAAGCATCAGGAAAAACAGTATCGACCAGAGCGGCGATATTGGCAACAATGTGACCACTTCGGGATAGGCCAGGAATGCCAGGCCAGGTCCCGATTTGGCCACTTCCGATACGGCYTTTTGTTGTACGTGTGCCATATGTCCTAATACCGAAAATATGACAAACCCGGAGAACAGACTCGTGGCACTACTGACCACACATGCAATGATTGAATCTCTAATTATTTTTAAACAAAAAAAAACGATAAAAATATTATGAATTATAAAATAATAAATWTTTTWTATAGTTATGTAWTTTGAGTGTTATTTTTAAAAAAAATATATATATTATTAAACTATGTTTTAATTAAAAAATAATATAATATACTGTATTAAAAAAAATTAATATATACAAACCTGTAAAAATTGTGATGATATTTATTATAGCTGCCAAGTGCTACATTAGCACCTATACCAATGCCATAGGAAAATAGTACCTGGGTGCTRGCCGATACCCAAACCTGTWTAACCAAATAAATAATTAAAATATTTAACAAMAACAACAAAAAGTTACATTTTTAAATTTAAAATAATAATTATTATAATTATTGAAAATACTTTTGAATCACTCAGTCGTGAAAAGTCGGGTTTCAAATAAAACAACAGTCCATTGCTGGCCCCCTCCAGTGTAACACCTCTGATGAATAATATGAATAGTATAACATAGGGAAAGGTGGCCGTAAACCATATGATTTTGCCGCTCTGGTGCAGCCCTTTCCATATAATACCGTAGACCAGTGCCGACGCCACAAACAAACAGATCAATAGTTCCCATCGTATGGTTCCCATGTCGTGAATGCCGGTTGTTATCTCTAATACACGATTTCTATCAACAAAAAAAAATTAAGTTATTTTAAAATTAAAAAAATAAATAAAAATAAAATCAACATAATTATTATAAACACCTAATATTAGATAAACAATTTTCTGCATAAAAATTAATAGTTGAAATGTTTATAAAAAGTTTTTAATATTTTTAATATGAWTTTTTCAAAAATAAATATATTTATGTTATTATTTTTAAGATATCTAATATCAATTGTTAAATRACTTGTAATATAATATGTATTTAAAAAAAAAATTTATTTCTATGATTATCTYAAAAAATTTTGTTTTTCACTSATATATATAACTCTTAATTTTGTTTCAAAATATATATTCATTGTGTTGTTGTTATCTATAATAATGTGATCCTATAGTCCAATGTTTTTATAATAAATGCTTTTTTAAAACAAACATTAAATTATATTTTTTTATCCATTCAATTAAATCTATATAAAAAAAAGTAAATTTTTTTTTAGATAACTTACTCCCAGTACTCTTTGACCGGCGATACAGCTTCCGGATGACTATCACTGGTTATATGAGACATACAGTTGTCTGTATTCCATGTGTTGTTACAGGAACTCCACGGCAGTTCCGATGTAAACGATTGGACCAAATAAAACAGTGTCCAAGCAATCAGTATTACATAATATACGTTACACAGACCTATCATTACCATCGATGCAAAACCGATACCTTTTAAWAAACAAAMAAAAAAATAAWATAATATTATTTAACTAATTATAAWAATTTAATGAATCATTTATGATATTCACATAATATGTTATTATTATTATTTTTTTGGTGATTTAATTAAGAAAAATCAATTGTTTGAAATTCTAGTTAATTGAGGGACAATTTTTTTGGTGGTGAGGGTGGGAATACCTTTAAAAATTGGTACCAAATTCCAGATAGCTATRCCACCGGTGTTCAGGTACTGRCCCAGTGCTACCTCCAGCAAAAACATRGGAATTCCCACCAGAATCACACATATATAGTTTGGTACCAAAAATGCACCTTTAATTTTATAGGATAATAATAATAAATATGATAGTAATTAATGAAAAAAAAAGTAAATCAATTTGAATACACAAAAAATATAAACAAATTAGCAGCCAATTTGTGTGATAAAATGATCTAGTGTAATTATTATTATTATTGCACAAAAACACTAATGTATAATTCATATATTTATACAAATATTAGACAAAAAATTTTAATTACTAATCTAAATAAAATCTAATGCAAAATATATATCTATCTATTTAATATAATACAAATAAATACTATATATATATATATATATAATTATATAACCAACATTATTGATAAGTTTACCCTACTTTTGTGATAAGGTAGGGGAGAGTAAAAAAAGTACAGTACAGATGACCCTCTCGTAATGGGGAGGGTCTGCACCGTTGCCAGTATCTCCCTTTCCACACCACATAGAGATAGTTGTTATTTATTTATTATTTATTTTTTTTGATTATTATATTTTCAAATTTAAATTTTCTGATCAATTTTTTTTCTCTGATGGTTGAGAAGATCCAATGATTTCATTGATGTTTGAAATTTATATATTTTGAATGCATATTGAAATATATATWTATATAWATATATATATAAATGGCTACTAAATTCTGGATGCCATCGATGATCATATATTCCAGTATTTTATTATTATTATTATTATTATTATTATATATTATATATATATTTTCAAAGAATATTCTCTGTTTTTTCAATGACATCGCATCACTGCTCTAATCAATAGATAATTTAGTTGAACTCAAAAATTATTTTAAAATTAAATAAATAATTAATTWATTTTGGATAATAAARAATTATAGAAAGATAATAATAATTATTATTATKTAAAAATTATAATATAAAATAATTACTGATAATTTAAATAATATAAATCTAAGTAAAATATTAGTTAWAGTTAWGTAAATWGATTAAATTATTTTGCAATTATTATTTTWTTATATAGAAAACAGRTAAATTCAAATAATATATGAAATATAAATAAATAATAATTAATATTGACTTAAATAATTAACTATAATATAWATTTATTTATAATTTARTAATTATTTAAAAAAATAAAAAAAAACTATACAATTTTCTWTGTCATTATTYATTAACWTTTACTATTTTTTTATATAAAGTATATATATATATATTAATATATATATATATTTCTCTCTTTCTCTCTCTTTTTTTCTCTCTCTTTCTTTCACTCACTCACTCACTCACTCACTCACTCACTCACTCACTCACTCACTCACTCACTCACTCACTCACTCACTCACTCACTCACTCACTCACTAACCTGTATTAAAATTAGCATTTATTGATTTCTCGAGTCTTTATCATATAATAATAATATAGATTTGTTTTAYTTTTTATATWATAATAACATATATTATAGTATTAAAACATTATTTAATATTAARTCTATTTTCTATAGAATTTCCACTTTCTATGAATTTAATTAATGTCGTGTCACTTATTATTTTATGAGTTATTTAATATGTTTTTTTTGTTAAATAAATTTTCAAATATCTAATAAAGTAATAATATGTACTGTAATAATATGTAATACAAAATTAAAATTATAAATTTTTATAACTATATAACAGTATAGCTTAAAATTGATGACAGATGATAATGCAACTTAGATTAACACAATGACAATATCATCTAATTTTTTTATTTTTTTCTGTAAATTTTWAAAAWWTTTTATATCTATAATAATAATAGTGTTATTAACTATCAGTTTCTTTGTTTTATTTTTTAAAACGTCAAGTCATTAAATTTGATATATAATACACAAGTGATGAGAAAGAGAGAGAGAGAGAGAGAGAGAGAGAGAGAGAGATAATTAAAATAAAGAGAAAATATAAAACATACTAAAATATGTACTTAAATATTATATCTCTAGTATTTTTTAACCGGTTTTTGTAATTCAAGTTATAAAATAAAATATCAAACAATAAATTATTTGATCAGAAATTAAGATAAAACTTAATTATTTAAATGTAAAAAATAATAATAATTTATTATTATTATTATTTTTGTTGTTTTTACATTGAAAATTCTAATCGGAAAAACTAATCTTAAAATTTAACATTAAATAACCTAAACATATACTATATATATATATATATAGTTACCTAAAATTATAAAGATTATTTATTGTTTGAATTTATTTTATTATTTTTTATTAAATATAGTTATCTGGTATTAATATTTTCATGACATTAATAATAGTTTAGATTTGAAAAAAAAACAAAATAAAATTATTATTAAATCATAAAATATAAGAGTTGATTAGCATTTAAATWGTTATATAAAATAATAATAATAATAATAATAAAAAMATAAAATAAAATAATTGTCATTTGTCTTACCGCCTCCGTTGTCATAAACGAGACTAAAATAAAAATATATAAAAAAAATTTAATTACAAATACATTTACCGCAYAATAATAAATAGGATTTTATTTTTTTAAAAAAATATATAATTAACTTTTAAATTACAAAAAAAAATTAAGATAAATGATTCATTAAAAATATAATTTACGATAAATGCAATATTTATGTATTTTAATTTTGATATATTATTATTATTATTATTTAATTGTATTGTATAAYCAAGTATATACATTGAATAAATTAAGAAAAAATTTATATTTAAATAAATTAATTCAATAATCTTAATAGTGTATATAATTTAAAAAAWTTAATCAACTAAAAAATAGCTATTCAAATATAATTTGAAAAAATTARCATTTTTTAKGCGCCTCATGTGATAATTTATTATTATTGTTTATATTTTTTAAAAATTTTTTTTAATACATCATGACCAGGTCTATGAGTATATGACCTTGGTTGTTTTTATTATAAAGTATTTTTCTAGTTAGCAAAAAATATATATTATAAAAATAGTATAAAAAATAAAAATAAAGAATTTTTTGTTGTTAGTGTTAACCATTATTTAGGAAAATATATTTAAAATAATTATAATGTAAATCAATGTATAAATAAATAATAATATTTTAAATTTAATTATTTAAGTTAAAATCTAATTTATATTTTTTTTATATATTTAAATAATCAGAATAAATTCTATATGAAAACCATTAAATCTATAATAATATTTTAAATTTAATTATTTAAGTTAAAATCTAATTTATATTTTTTTTATATATTTAAATAATCAGAATAAATTCTATATGAAAACCATTAAATCTATAATAATATTTTAAATTAATTATTTAAGTTAAAATCTAATTTATATTTTTTTCATATATTTATATAATCAGAATAAATTATATATAAAAACCATTAAATCTATAATAATAATAATAATAATAATAATAATAAAATATAATAACACTTACTATGGGAATCGCCATACATTGCCCAGACCTACGGCATAGCTAATACAACTGAATATAAAGTCCAACTTTCCCGACCACTGACCCCTTTCCGGCGGCGGCGGCCGCGGTGTCGGTGCCGACTCACGAGTCGTTTGTTTTTCTGTATCATTATTATCTAAATAGTGGTTCAATTGGTTTTCATTGATTGTCAGATTAAGGTTCAATTTGGTGACATCCAGTTTCATTGCCGGCGACTGTTTGGTTGCCATTAATAGATTTATAGTTCAATAATAATAATAATAACAACAACAACAAGAATATTGATATAAATTATTATTATTTAAAAAAAATATTCTTTGATTTTTTATTAAACAAAATATCTCTATTTTTTCTATTAAAAAAAAAAGATTATATTATTTTATCAAAATAGATAATATTTATATATAGATATAGATCTCCGGCGCCGATAGTTATTTGTTAGGAGTAGTAGTAGTAGGAAATGTTGTCGTTGTTGTTGTTGTTGGTGATGATGTCGTTGTTGTTGTTGATATTATTGTTGTTGTTATTTTTGTATTAAGTAGTGGATCACTATATACTGTATATATATATATATATATATGTGTAGTATTTTTTTTGGCTCAAAACTCTCATCGCAGCATTGGATGTATGCTCTAAACACATACACACACCATATATACACTCACACTAACACACAAACATATACACACACATTAAATGTCTGTCCTCTTATTGTCTCCCTTTCCCCGCAGACTCCTCTCTCTCTCTCTCTCTCTCTCTCTCTCTCTCTCTCTCTCTCTCTCTCTCTCTCTCTCTCTCTCTCTCTCTCTCTTTCTCTTACAGGTTATGCCTTGTTGTGTCAGCACTAGTATCACAATAAGCCGTATGCTATGATGATGATGATGATGATACGCCTGTCCTCAAAACATATATATTTTTATGTATATATACAGTATATATTAGTTAGTATTGAATGAATTATTCTGTATTATTCTGTTTCTTGAAATGAAAACAATTAAAAATAAGAACACTATTTAAACTAAGAAAAAAAATAATTAATTGTCATTGAAATACATTATTTAAAAAAATAATATATATATAATTTGCTGACTTTTATTTTTTTAATATAAATAAAACATATAAAGTATATATATTCAAACTATTTTTTTAAAACTATATATTTAATAATTAAAATTTTACATACATATTCCCACAATTAGATTATTAATATAACTAAAATTTAAAAATCAAAATAACAATTATTTAATAATAACTTATTGCTATATTAATACACAAAAATATTTTTTTTAATTAATATCAAGTATTATATAAATATCTATAGCACTTATATTGAGTAAAATTTTATATTAGTATATTTTTTATTTGTCACATAAAAATATTTAATTGTTTAAAACAAAATTATAATTATATATATATATATATATATATATATATATATATTGTTACTAAATAAAATATTAATAGTTGTACTTTTAACTAAAGTAATAAAATAGATATCAAAATTATTACTGATAATGGGATAAATTAACTTATATTAATAAATAGTTTATTAAATTAATAATAATAAAAGTTTCATAATAATAATGTATTAGAACTTTGTATAACTATTTTATTATTTGTTTGATATGACTTGAAATTTATGCTAATTTTTTTCTCTCTAATTTTTTTTTGTCAATTTTTATCAAATTTATTATTTTTTTATGTCATATAATAATAGTTTTGATTGACACATGTAAACATCATTTTAATAGACGACAATTTAAACAATAATATATTTTGAATATTAATAAAAATAAAAAACAAAAATATTGATTTTAATTTATTTCTTAAATATTTTGAAAATAAACAATAATAATAATAATACTTCATATATTTTTTTATTAATTATAAATAATAAAATCAAATAATTTATTAAATATATTGCTAACGATTTTAGTAAAAATAATATGTTTTTTTTGAAAATACAAAAAACACATTAAATAATATATAATAATCTCTCATAACTTTTTAGTTGTTTTCACAATTTTAATAAAATTTACAGTAAGTTTTTTCTTACTTTTATGGTTGAAAACACTTATCAATCACTAAACTAGTGATAATGTGAACGATAGGCCATCGTTTCGCTGATACCACTGATCAGCTTGGTCACCACATATGCACTGGTATTTTTTAGATACCAGTGCTGTAAGCGATACGGGAGGTCGGCAGGGGTTGAGTGGACATGTGTTATAGTTTGTGAACTTTTTTATTACTTAATTCACATATCATTGATATATATATATATATATATATATATATATAAATTGATATAAATAGTTAAATGTCTAATATTTTCAAAAATATATATGTAAATAGCTTCGCCAACTAATTTAGATGTAAATAATATTATAATTTTGATAAATTTTTGTATGTTTAATAATTGTTTTACATTTAATGGTAAATTTTATATACAAAAATCTGGAGCACCTATGGGTTGCAATCTGTCTCCTGTTTTAGCAGAAACATTAGTTAGTTATATATTTGAATTATCATTAAATAATTGTAGCTTTAAACCTAGTTTTTTAAAATTTTTTGTTGATGATAGTTTTTTAATTATAAACAAACGATATGTTGAAAAATATTTATCTCATATTAATAAAATTGGTAAATCTATAGGTAATATTCAATTTACTATAGAATATGAAATTAATAATATATTAAATATTTTAGATATACAACTTATAAAAAATAATGAATCTATAGATACACTAGTATATCGCAAACCTACACATTCTAATAGATATATTAATTTTAAATCTCACCAATCAATACAAAACAAAAAATGTATAATCAATACACTAGTTAATAGAGCAGTTAGTTTAACAAATCCTAATGATAAACTAAAAGATGAATTAAATATTACAAAACAAGCATTAATAGAAAACAATTTTCCTAAAAAAATAATAAATGAAACTATAAATAAATGTTTAAATAAAAACAATAATAATTTGTCAGATAAAACTAAATTTGACATTACAAAAACTATTTCAATCCCTTATTATAAAAATTTAAGTGAAAATATAAGGAAAATTTTAGCAAATTATGATATAAATGTTGTATTTAAAAAAGGTTTGACAATTAAAAATTTATTAAACAAAAATCCTTTAACTCTATTAAATAAAAATAATATAGTTTACCAATTAGATTGTATAGACTGTTCATTTAAATATATTGGCACTACATGTAGAAAATTATCTGATAGAATCATTGAACATAAAAAGGCAATAAATAATTATTATATAAAAAGTAATGTATGCTGATCATGTTAGATTAACTAGTCATAATATTAACTTTGACAATCCAAAAATTATTTATAATGAAAAAAATAAAAGATCAAGATATTTTTTAGAAAGTTTTTATATTGAAAAATGCAAAATTAAAAATATTAATCTTATGAATGACCAACAAAATAGTAAAACATGTATTCCCAGTACTTATCTATCACTAATTAACAATTAAAATGTTTGCCAAACTAGCCCTTAAAGGGCTAGTTGTGTTGGCGAAGCTATTTACATATATATTTTTGAAAATATTAGACATTTAACTATTTATATCAATTTATATATATATATATATATATATATATCAATGATATGTGAATTAAGTAATAAAAAAGTTCACAAACTATAACACATGTCCACTCAACCCCTGCCGACCTCCCGTATCGCTTACAGCACTGGTATCTAAAAAATACCAGTGCATATGTGGTGACCAAGCTGATCAGTGGTATCAGCGAAACGATGGCCTATCGTTCACATTATCACTAGTTTAGTGATTGATAAGTGTTTTCAACCATAAAAGTAAGAAAAAACTTACTGTAAATTATATAATAATCTAAAATACATAGTATAAATATAACTATGCCAACAAAATATAATTAATATTATTACTATTACTATTAATAATTAAATAATTTTATTATAAATATTTAAACATATAACTTTTAGTATATTTAAAAAAAATAATTTAGGAAATATAAGAAATATTAAACTACTTGTATAACAATATATTAGTAAAAATACTGTATTATAAATATGTTTTATAAATAAAAATGTCAACTATAACTAACTGTTATTGTTTAGAAATTGATATATCCGGGCCAACTACATTGGATAATTAATTGTAATACATTTTTTGTCACTTTTTATCAAATTTATTATTTTTATGTCATATCATAATAGTTATGACCAACACATGTAAACATCATTTTAATAGATGACAATTAAAACAATAATATATTTTGAATTATTTTAAATATTTAAAAAAATAAAACCAAAAATATTGAATATTAATAAAATAAAATATAAAAACTTAAAAACATAAATTATTAATAATTAAAATTTTACACTAATTTTTTAATTAAAAATATTCATTTGTAAGCTAAGATTTTAACTTTTTTTCATAAATATTTTGAAAATAAACAATAATAATAATAATACTTCATATATTTTTTGAAAATACAAAAAACTTATGATAATAATATTCAATAATATCAACTAAATATTATCAATATAACTATGCCAACATAATATTATTAATACTTTTATAAACTATTACTATTATTAATTAAATAATTTAATTATAAATATTTAAATATGTAATTTTTAATATACTAGTAGTATTAGTTTTTAATATAGTAAGTAAAAAAATAATTTAGAAAATCTAATAAATATTAAACTACTTATATAACAATACAGTATTAGTAAAAATACTGTATTATAAATATGTTTTAAATAAAAATGTCAACTATAACTAACTGTTATTGTTTAGAAATTGATATATCCGGGCCAACTACATTGGATTTGGATATTGTACCATGGGGCAATATTACAATATATAGCCATAGACTATACTGTAAATTGTTTTAAAAAATTAAACTAAAATCTATATTTAATATTTTATTTATATATAATATATATWTATATTTTTATAATAATATACTCTATAATTTAGCATTAACAAACACAATTAAACTATTGTGTGGATTTCATTATACACTATTACATCAATTGGTTTCCCGTACTAAACACAGGTTTATTATTTTTTATTTACTAATTATTTAGTATAAATTTATTTAGTTTTTTTTATATTAAAAGCGTTTTTTAAAATTCAAACTATACTGGGTATATTTATAATATTAATATTGATTTTAATAATAATAATTTTATACAGTATAGCAGTATTTTTTTAGATATAMATATTTATTTTWAAAWTTTTTYATRAACTTTRTATATTTWAAAATTRAATTAAATTTTTTTTTGTTTTAGTTTAATATTTGTTCAAATTATTGATAACGGTTTACAAAATTACAATACAATTCATAATTATAGCCATCATATTACAGATGGATTGAATCTTCTCTATAATAAAGTATATAATAATAGTAATAATAATAATAATATCCAAATAAAATTATTTATTTTAAGATAAATAAGGGATGGATCACATATTACGTTCGCACTTGAGGGGAGGGGGATGGGATTGGCCAAATCAAAATTTTGCGAACGATGAGTAGGGGTAGGGTAGAGACTTTAAGAGCCGTTTGCATTTAGATAATATTTTATATTATAGTTGTGGTGGTGATGGTGGAGGGGGGGGGGGGGGGGGGACGTAATGCGAACGTAATTTTTCAAATGACTACATGCGAACAATTGCAAACATAGGGAGAGGGTTAGAGAGAGGTGGTCTAGATTTCTTAAAAAATGCGAACGTAATATTTGAATTGTTTCTAATAATAAACTATTGATATATTATTTTATTTATTATTTATTTATTTTTATTTTTTGATAGACAGTCGACATATCATTACAAGGAACTAATCTAAATGAAGAGTTACTTAAATTTTCAGATTATTTAACACCATTTATATCACATCTAATAACAATTATTGGTAGTTATTATCCCGAAATAAAATACAATAATTTGTTTGGCTATTGGAAAATATTTGGACCTAAAGTATAAAAAAAATAATAATAAATATATAATTAATTATGTTTTGATATTTATATACAAATTTTTTYAAAAAATAATTAATTTTTAATTCAATAATTTTATTGTTTTTGTTATACCATACTCTAGCTTAAAGGTACTACAATTGAAAATCGTATTATCAATAGGGTATCCAATGTATACAATTACGATAAATTTATGAAAAATTGTGTCAACATTATGATTGGTATACAACAAAATCATACACAGGTTATGATAGCCACTGAACATATGGCACTATTTGAGGAAATGTCAGCAAAATTTTCAAATTTACTTCACTTATCTAGTAATAGATATTTTCAACAATGTTTTGGACAACTTATACATAAATTTTATGGCAATTCATCAATTATTAGACAATACARATTGATGTGAGWTTATATTATATAAGACATATATATATAATTATATTATATGATTAATTATTTAATTATTATATTTAATTATTAAATATCATATATATAATATAATCAATAGTTTAATTAGTTGTTTATTGTATTTTTTGAATATTTTATATATTGCATATATATATAAAAAAATAATTATTTTTAAAAATAATTATTTATTTATTTTTTCAGAGTATATATTGATTTTGTTTATCTATATATATTATATAATGATAACTTAATTAGTAGTCTCTTATATATATTAAAATAAATAAATAATTAATTTTGAAAACAATTTTATTTATTTTTTTAAGAGCAAACATTATGAAAGAAACAGGGTTAGATAATAAAATTGAATTGGAAAGTTATAAAATAATTAAACAAATGGCTAATGTAGAAGATATACAACTACCCCATAACGAGGACAGGGATTATATGAATTTTGATGATATGAAGATAGCATTGGGTGTCTATGCTATGGGTATCAGTGCTGCGTTTGTTGGCTTTTATTTGGAAATATTTGTTCTGCTATTCAATCTGTGATGACAATTGAATAATATTAAAAATAAAATGAGAATTCAGTGAATTATTTCATAAAAAAGATATAAATATTAATTTTATTACAAAAAATTAAACAATTAATAACTATTATAATTGTTATAAAATTATTTATTATATTTTAAATTAAAAACATTAATCAACATTTATATAATTAAATTTTAACTAGTTAATAACTATATTGAATAATACATAATATAAATATGTTTTAATTATGTTAATTTATTTAATTATAATATTTTTTATAAAATGTAATATTAAATATAAAATTATTTAGTATTAATTTTGATAACATAAGCAACTTTTAGGGCCTGATGTGTCGGATCGGGATCTGGTATGATATACGGAAACGTAACAATAGTATGATCGCCATCATCACCACCACCGACCCTATACTTGAGATCATCCTTAACGCCCAACATCTGGACTGATTGGACACTACTGTACGATACAGATCCCAACTCGACCTCATTATTATTGTTTGGCCAAAACAATACTATAGCATAAACAGCCTTATCTTTTTGAGTGTACCTTATAAATGAAATATTTTTTTTATAATTTAATATTTAAATTAAAAAAAGTTAATTTTATTAAATTTTGTTCAACAATTTTTCCCCCCATTTTATTAATCTAAAACTTACCAAACATTTTTCGTAAGCGTATCATTGGGTCCATGAGCCCAGGGTTGACTTGAGTATACGGCTTCTCCATTAACTCGAAGCCAGTCTCCCAGTCCTCGAAGTCGCTCTTCAAATATAGGAGTAATAGTTCCCTCTTTGGTTGGGCCGATATTGAGCATAAAATTTCCTCCACAACTGTAGATACCATATATATATATAAATATTTTATTTTTTAAAATATCAGTTATATTATACCTAATAGTTTGGGCCAATGAGGTCAGTATTTCTAATGGTTGCATATAATCCCATAGATTTACGTTACGTTTGTAACCCCACGAGCCCTTACTGACCGACATTATGTGTTCCCATTTGTGAGGCATAATCCTACCCGGATTGAAATTATCGTTATAGTTATAGAAATCTCCGTGATGTCCATCACTACCCTCACCTAAAACAACAAAAACAATAATCAATTATTTATTTGTTTTCATAAACTTTATCTACAAGTGCTATATTTACCCCATCGGTCATTGACGACAACTGTGTCCTTTACGGGACTTTATTTTATTTGCATAGAAAAAAAACATAATTAAATTAAGACTCAATTTTTTTAGGACTGTGCCCACTATTGTCATATATATTGTCGATATACCTATCGTTGTAAAGCCAGGCCAARAACTCTTCGCTTTTCCAATACTTGGGATCTCCGCCTCCGTTACCGTCCGACCAAACAATATCCGGCTTATAATTGTTAACTAATTCACGCAATTCGGGCTGTATTTTGGTCTAAATATTTAATATAAAAAAATTAATTAATTAATTAATAATTAATTACTTAAGAAAAACTATAGGATTTGAAAACTATTGCCAAAAAAAAGACAAACATCGACAAAATGTTGTGTCTTATGGTCATTGTTTGAGTCTTCAATAAATAGTGGATTAAACCACTCCATCAATGAGTGATAGGCACCAAACCGGAGACCCTTATTACGGACAGCTGTCGACAATTCACCTAAAAAATAAAAAATTTTTAGTTATAATTATAATGTTTAAAAACCGTTTGAAAATTAAAACAAAAATATATATGACTTTTTTCATTACCGACTAAATCCCGATTGGGTCCGACATCTTTGGCATTCCAACTGTACGAGTACTTTGACGGCCACATAGTATAGCCTTCGTGGTGTTTGGTGGTCAGTACCACATACTTAGCACCGGCCGATCTAGAAATTTATTAATTTTTTTTACAATAAATAGACACATATATAAAGTTATATATATATAGGTACACAAAATATAAACGTTTGGTTATAAGATAGCTATCATATCAATCAAACTATTGTGGACATACCTAAAAACATCGGCCCAATGGTTGGGATCGAAAAATTCTGTCGTAAATTGTTTGGCAAAGTCCTGATACGTCCAATTTGGCGGATAATTGTTTTTCATAAACTCAATAAAATTGTCCACTTTATCGGCTTTCCAACGATACCAAAACCACTCGTCCCCGTAGGACGGCACCGAAAATACGCCCCAATGTATAAATATACCGACTTTTGCCTCATCAAACCAGCCCGGGATCGGACGCTTGTCCAGTGACTGCCAGTTTGGATCATATCTGATGGCATCGGTGTTAGTGTTGTTGTTATTGTTATTATTGGATGCGCTTAACACTACATTTACCATCAATACTGCACCCGTAATACAAATAAAATTTAAATTTATTAATAACATTACAGTATAATGAAAATTCTAATATAAATATAATGTCACAAAAATTAACTATATTTTATTTTAATTAAATTAATTTTTTATGCTACTAACAAAAATATTATGTATTTAAGTATTATTTTATTGTATTTTTATAGATTTAAAATGTAGATTTAAAATAATAATAATAATTTGATCTAATTTTGTGAGAATAAATTTATTTATAACAATATGCAAGACATTAGATAATATTAGTATTTGTTATTTATGATTACAAATTAATAATAATAATATATTTAATTATATAACAAATTGATAATTTAAACAACATTTACTTTATGTACTTACAATTTGTTGTTGTTATATAAGTTGCAAAACAATAATTTTTTTTTTTAAATAAATCAATATTATTCACAATTAATTTATATGAGAAAACAAAATTAAAGTTTATTTGTACCTGAAACTAATCAACTCAAATTATATACTATAGAAAAATAAACTTTTTTTATATTATTAATAATAATACTGTATAAACTATCTCTAAAAAAATTGTACTAAAAAAATAACCATAATTTTACATTTTACTAATAAAATAAATATACCCTAAAATATTTTATGGTTAAAAATATTATAATGAATCAAATATTGTATAAAATATATATACTGTACATAAAAACAGAAATTAAAATAAAGAAATTATTAGAAAAATCAATAAACAAAACAAAATATTAGTAAATTATAGCTAAAATTTAGATTTAAAAAATATTTATTGATTTTGATGTGTGTGTGTGTGTGTGAAATAATAATTGCTATAATAAATGTAAAAGTAAAATCAATGTGATCAGCAAAATTATTTTATTTATTATATTATTTGATTTAATATGTATATACAGTGTGTAATTTATACACTCATAAAAATAAATGTTAATTATTTAAAAAAAAAATAACTAATAATAGTTGAGTGAATTTTTAAAAAATATATATATATATATGTGAAAAAAATATTTTTAAAATTTATCATTTTATCATTTATGCTTTTTGGAGGAATAAGTTTATACAATCTATCATTTATAATATTGACATTAAAAAAAATAAAAAGTATATTTTTATTTTTAATTTATCATTGATTTTGATTTTACTAAAAAAATAATTATTTAAAAATGTTAAGTAAATTAAATGTAAACAAAAGTCTCCCCGCCTCCTTAATGTTGTGGGGATGGGGTGGGGCTGAAACTTATTGGATATAATTATCATAACCACTGAACGATTACTTTTTTTATATTAAAATTTTGTTTGAATAAAATATTTTTATACTTTTTTTTTAATAAGTAACTAAACATTTATTTTTTGGTGGATATAAATGACTGTATATACTGTATGTATAATACATCATATAATACATAACAACATAATAAATTAGTTTTCAATAAATTAATTTATTTTTATACAATGAAAACATTATATTAGTTTTAATATATTAATTAATTCCTAACATTATTATTGGTTAATGAATTGCAATAAATCTAGAAAAGCAATTGTCTGTAAATATTTTTTTTTATTATATTTTAAATAAAAATAAATTAGAAAATAGTGTTAATAATTGAATGAAATATATAAAATTTAAACATATATTATAATACAAATAAAAATATATATAATAAATCTAATTATAATTACGATAAAATTAATTTTTAATAAAACATTAATAATTAATATTAATATAATATAAAATAAATAAAATTCACATTTATTTGCATTTAACTACTAAAACCATAATAGTAAATAAATGTATTCAAAATTTATTATAAATGAATATATTAAAACTATGCATTATGTTAATCTAATTAAAAAACTTAAACTTATTTTATAAAATATTAGAAATATATTGGAGAAAAAAACTAAAAACATTTCTATCTATTAATTATTTGTTTAAATTTTTTTTGTTACAGACACTGTCTTTAATAAAATAGTTTTTACAATATATTTATATATAAATTTATAGATATATAAGTAATAAAAAATTATTATTATTTCATTATTAGTTTAGCTTTTATTGCTATTATAGTTATTATTTATATTGTTATATATTTATATATATTATTTAAGACTTTATTCAATAATATAATTGCTGTTTTTATTGTGTAAAACAATTATAGTATACATAATAAGTGTTAGCAAATGTTGGATAAAAAAAGCATTACCCATACAGGAAGGTTATGTTTCGCACACATACCGGCCCGTTATGTATCAATATTAATGATATCGTTGGGCATATTTCTTGATTACAGTTACAAAAGTTTTCTGGGCGTTACAATCGTAGCGATGGTCAGACACGACAGTAAATCAAAAACAATGAATACCGAGTGTCCAGTAGATGACATACAAAATGGTGCCAACAGTAGTAGTAGTTTCGGTGAATTTGAATGGACAGACAGTCAACAGACAGTGATTTTAGGTGCCTTTTATTACGGTTATATTTTTACAAATTTTCCGGCGGGTATTATATATGAAAAACTAAGCGGCAAATGGTTGGTTGGCTGCAGTGTCTTAACTACTGGTATATTGTCAGCTATAGGACCAATTGTTATGCGTTTGGGGGGCAATTCAATTGTGCCGATCGTATTGATTAGGATTGGACAAGGTTTTAGTGAGGGTATAATGTTTCCGATTATTAACGCAATGATAGCTAAATGGATGCCAAAAATAGAGAGAAGTCGTGCCGTTTCCCTAACATTTGTGGGATCATCTCTGGGAGTAGTAGTCAGTCTATCACTGAGCGGTTATCTATGCAGTACAACAATTATGGGCGGTTGGCCAGCAATTTATTATTTTCTAGGAATCGGATCATTTATTTGGTTTATATTTTGGTCACTATTTGTGTTTGACTCGCCCGACACTCATCCGTATATATCGCAAAATGAGTACAATTATATTAAATCGGGACAGGGATATGAAACTAACGGTTCGGTAAGTGATAATAAAATATCAATTAAAAAATTTATTTATAAAAAATATATTAACAGAAAAAACATATCCCATGGAAATCAATGCTAACATCATATCGTGTTTATTCAGCTGTCATAACACACTTTGGTGCCAATTGGGGTTATTTTACACTATTAACACTATTGCCCACATATTATGATAAAATATTACATATGAATATTAAATCAGTATATTATATATTTTATTTTTTATTGTTGTTGTTATTTTATATAATACAATATATAATGAGATCAATTTTTTTTTAAATATATATATTTATTAATAATTTTTTTTATTAACAATTAGGATGGATTTATATCAAGTTTACCATATATTGCTAATGCAATTGTATCGTTTTCGGTATCATATATAACCGATAAATTAAGACAAAAAGGTTTTAATATAACAGTGTTAAGAAAAATCAATAATTCAATAGGTATTATACTATTGTATTATAAATAAATTAGTAATACATTAATAATTAAAAAAAAAGTAATATATTAGTAAATAAATAATATAAATTATATTATAATAATAACTAAAAAAATATAGTGAACTAATTAGTATTATAAATAATATATATTATTATTATTAGTATTACATTAATTAATAATTATTAATATCCTGTTTATTATATATATATATATATTTATTAGCATTTTTCGGTACTGGTTTTTGCTTAATAGCAATTATTTTATCCAAATGTAACAAAACATTGAATGTTATATTTTTTATAATCGGTTTGGGTTTGAATGGCTGTATATATTCGGGAGTTTTTGCCACTTATGTAGATATGTCACCAAATTATGCCGGTTTTCTCATGGGTTTCAGTAACACATTTGCAACCATTCCCTGTATTATTAGTCCACTAATTGCTTCACAAATCTATAAAAATGGGGTATTTATACAATTATATCGTTACCAATATCTACAATTTTTTTTATTAGTAATAAATAAAAATTTTGTCACAAATAGCAATCACTTAAAACTTGGTCCTATGTTTTCTATATTTGTTTCGGTATCTACTTTTGTACACAAATTATTTATATATTATTTGCATCATCAGAGTTGCAGTCATGGGGTATGACTACCAAAACAAAAACTAAAAAACCTAATAATGTCGACCACATCACTAATACTAAGTTATGAAAATAATATATATATATATATATATATAATAAGTATCTAAAAAAACTTTAAATATTTCAAAATATTAATTCAAAATATTAATTTGATTAACAAAACTTATAAAAAGTTAATTTAATAATTACAATAATCATGACTTAATAAAAAAAATAATTTATAAATCTCTAAACATATTAAACATATTTTATTCTAGTATTGACAAACAAATTGCAATTTACTTTATGTATTTATATTAATATTTTTATTTAAAAAATGTATATAATTATAAGTATTAATAAAATAAAATAAATTATTCATAAAAATATTATAAATGTCATGGAAAATATTTATTTTTTTAAAAATAATATTATTATAAAATAATTCATTACTCATGTATGTAATTTAAATCAAATGTAGAAAACAATATTTTAATCTAATATTAAAATTGGTATCATATTTATTTAAAATTAATAATTTAATTGTTAGTGTAATTTATATAAAAAAAAGTTTTAATTTACAAAATTATTTCAAACAAAATAATATATTATTTAAAATACAGTACAATGTCTAGTATACTAATTTAGTAACAATTAAATAATTAATTTTATTATAAAAATTATTTTATTTAAAAGTATCTACAAAATAGGATAATTAAATAAAGTAATGTTACAAAAATATTTTAATGGACAGCTATGTTATACATACTTACCGGTCCGTTATGTACTCCTATTGCTGATATCGTTGGCCTTATTTTTGGACAACTCATTCAAAAGTTTTCTGGGCGTTGCTATCGTAGCAATGGTTGGACGACATAACAGATCCAATATTATTACAAATGAGTGTCTCATTGCTGAAGAAGAAGTAAATTCAAGCCGTCATTCATATAGTGGCCAACATTTCGGTGAATTTGATTGGACAGACACCCAACAAACAATAATATTGACAGCCTTTTACTTTGGCTATATATTAACTCAGATACCGGCCGGCATTCTGGTCGATAGGACGGGTGCCAAATGGATACTCGGTCTAAGTCTGCTAATATCGGGTATACTATCCATAATAATACCGATTACCGTAACGACAAACAACAGTTCAATAGTGCCGATAGTAGTATTACGTATGGCACAGGGACTAGTACAGGGGTCTATACTGCCCGCATATAATGCATTAATAGCCAAATGGATGCCCAAAACTGAGAGAAGTCGTGCCGTTTCCCTAACATTTGTTGGCTCAGCGTTGGGCGTAGTAACTACTCTACCATTAACCGGTTATCTTTGTAGTAGTAGTTTTATGGGCGGTTGGCCCGCCATTTACTATATGTTAGGTATATTTACTAGTATTTGGTTTATATTTTGGTCGCTATTTATTTTTGAATCGCCCGATACTCATCCGTATATATCGCAAAAAGAGTACAACTATATTAAAACAGGACAGTCATATGAAACGGCTAACAATGTTAATGAATTTCCTATATATTGATTATATATCATAACATTATATTAAATTAAAATTTTTTTGTTGTATATAAATATATTTAACAGAAAAAACAAATTCCGTGGAAATCAATATTGAAATCATATCGTGTTTACGCTGTTATGTTAACACATTTTGGCTACAATTGGGGTTATTTTACTTTATTAACACTATTGCCCACATATTTTGCTAATATATTACATATGAATGTTAAAACTGTAATTTCAAAAATTGTTTCAGAATGTCAACATAAAAAAAAATGTTATTAAATTATTAATTTTTTTAAAAAAAAACTTTAAATTTTATTTTATAACTAGAATGGATTCATATCAAGCCTACCATATATTACTAATGTCATAGTATCCACACTGTGCTCATATATAACAGACAAATTAAGACAAAAAAATGTTAATATATCAATATTGCGAAAAACAAATAATTCAATTGGTAATTCAAAATATATATAATTATTTATTTTTTGTTTTCAAAATTAATTAATATAATATATATATATTTTTTAATTATTTAAGGCTTTTTCGGTGCTGCCATTAGTCTAATTGGTGTTGTTTTATGCAAATGTAATTCAACACTAAGTATTGTCTGCCTATGTATAGGATTGGGTCTAAACGGCTGTTCCTATTCGGGTATATTTAGCACTTATGTCGATATGGCACCAGATTTTGCCGGAATTTTGATGGGAATTTGTTCAACATTTGGTAGTATTCCCTGTATTATTGGTCCACTAATTGCTTCCCTATATAACAACAATGGAGTAAATGATAATTATATTTATTTATTTATTACATTATAATAATTTCAATTTCAATTATAATTATTAAAATTATTAATTTAATCATTTATAATTTTATTTTTTTTTAAATATAAAAGCAATCACTGAAAACCTGGTCTCAAGTATTTTATACATGTACTGGTGTTTATATTTTTACAAATTTTATTTATATATTATTTGCCACTTCAGAGATACAAAAATGGGGTTTAACTAAATCAGACAAACAATCGACAGATGAAAATGATAACCGCAATGTTATTGTTTATAATATTAAATTGTAAATTATAAAAAAAAATATTTTAGTAATTTTAATTTGCAAAGATTTAATTTAATTTTTTTTAAAGTATTAATTTATATATTTTTTAACATTTGTTTTAATTGTATAATCGTAATAATTGTTAAAAGTTGTCATGTAAATTTATTTTTTAGTTTTAAGTTATTATTATTTTTTGAATTATTATTATTTTATGAACTTTATTATTATTTTATGAACTTTATTATTATTATATTATTATTTATAAATAAAAGATAATAATTGTATTTTTATAATATCATAATTCTGGTTAATATTTATGTGAAAAAATACAGCCTATTTGATACTTAGTGCAATTGACCCGGTTAATTGATAATGGTTTATCACTTAATCAATTGTTATTAATATAATTTATTTTATATTTTCATATATCATAATAATAATAATATTAATAATCTTTATTTCACAAACTTKCTATGTTATAATACATAAAATATATTGTTAAATAAAATACAATTAATTAAATTTAATGTTTTATATTGTTGATTTTTTCATAGATAATATATAATTTAATAACATTAAAAAAATATATAAAAATATAATAAATTTATTTGAATTTAACTTTAAATTAATCTACAGAATAAATAATTATTATTTTAAAAAAGCAAATATTTTTTTATTTATTGAATTCAATAAAGATTATTATAGTTTAAAGTTTATTATATTATTTAAATATAATTTTAAGCACATAAGCAAACTTTAATAAGTCCGGACTGATTGTTGGAAATGTAACAACAGTTGCACCCTTACCGGCACCACTACTACCGTTACCCATACCTATAGTTAGATTGCCCGTAACGCCTAACATTTGTACCGATTTGACCGAACTATAGTCTACCGCTCCCAACATTAGTTGATTAGTTTGAGGCCAAAACAGTACTATTGAATAGACAGTAGTCGTATCTTTCATTGTATACCTTAAACATATTGTCAATAATAATATTAGTTAAATATGATATAACTAAACATTAACAAAAAAAAGGGAAAGTTGTACTCTCAATATCCTACCAAACTTTTTCAGTTATAGTATCGTTTTGATGAGTCCATGGTTTAGATGCATAAATAGCCTCACCGTTGATGGCCAGCCACGAGCCGATATCTCTGAGTATTTCCTCCAGCAATGGTATAATTCTACCGTCAGGTGTGGGTCCGATGTTAACCAAAATATTGCCGCCACAGCTAACAGTTTGGGCCATTTGGTCGATCACTTCCTGGGCGGTCATAAAATCTTTGTAGCCGAAAAATTTATTATAACTCCATCAACCATGTATAACAGACAGGGCGTTTTCCCATTTGTGTGGCTGTACTACTGATGGCAGATACCTGTCCTTACAGTTGAAAAAGCCACCGTGTCGACATGCTGTTCCCGATCCTACCGTTTCAATATATAGTATACAATATATATTATATTAAGTATATTTTACATGTTTACTGTTTATATATACAGTATATATACCCCATCGATCATTGACTATAACATTATCCTTAACGGGACTATTATATATATATATATTTTTCAACAACAAAAAAATTTAGTTAGTTTTAGGTACATAACATAATTATAAATATAAAAAAAAATAGTACATTACCTATCATTATAAAGCCATGCTAGAAAATGTGTACTATTCCAATAGTCTACCGGTGCTCCTCCATCACCGTCCGACCATAGAATATCGGGTTTGTATTTGTTGACCAATTCTAACATTTCGGGCATTATTTTATTCTAATTAACAATTTTTTAAAAGAAAAAAACATAATAATTATATAATAAAAATATATTTTTTGTTTGTTTATGATTTTTAAAAAAATAGATATATGAAGTGTCGTCTACCCTATCCTACCCTACCCTAACAAATTCATTGGTTTTCCATTTAGTCGACTGTTCAGTCATATAGACCGGATTGAACCACTCCATTAGCGAATGATAGGCACCAAATCGGAGGTCTACCTTTCGGATGGCAGTCGATAGTTCGCCTAATAAAAAACAAAATGTTATTTAAAAAATGTCATATTTTTTGTGTATAAATTATATAAATAAATAAATTCCCAGCACTGAGTAAACGCCCCAATGTATCATAACTCCAAACTTGGAGTCGTCATACCATTGAGGAAGGGGTCGCGAATCAAGTGATACCCAATCGGGTGTATACTGTATATCGGCTGTAATACATACATTGTTGTCGATATAATAAATGCATAAAACCAATGCTAGAACTTGTTGTGTATATAATTTTATAATTTTTATTGACAAAAAAATAATTAATTGTTTGTTTAATAATAGAAAAAAATAGATTTTTATTAACAAATTAAAAAGAAAAGTTTTTCTTATCTAAATTGAATTACAATTAAATTTTATCTAATATTATTAGCTTCTATTTATATATATAAATATATAACATATACAGTATAGTAGGATTTTTATATCCCGAATAAATGTAAAAAAGATATCAAATTGTTGATTCAAACTATCAATTTATGTACTTTACTTTACGAAAACTTTTCAGACTTTTTTAAAATATATAATCTAATAAATTTATTATTAATTTATTTTATTTTATTTACTAATTTATTTACTAATAGATTAAATATACTTTTTTTTAAAAAAAATAACTATAATGTATGAATATTACCTGTTAATACTAAATATATAGTATTTAATATAATATACTGTATATTATAAAATTATTTTATTATTAATATTTAATTTTATAAATATCTATTTTGTATTATATTGTAAATATAATTTTATCATAAACAATTATATATTTAATAAATAATGTATTATAAAATAAAAATAAATATTATAATTCATAAATATATTTTTTTAAAATTAATTAAAAAAATAAACAAAGTTATAGAAAATTTATTTATATTTGTGTATAATTATAAGTCTTATAAATATATATATATTTTAAATCTCTCTAATGATTATAAAATTTGCAAATAAAATTGTTAGTTAATGAGTCAAACAATAATAATAATAAAAAATAATTTATATAAAATAATGATTTAGCAAATTGAAAGTTTATATTGTTTTTCTTATAGTGATTTCAATACTAATGATGATTTGAATAATCTGTGATTTATAATATATTTTAACATATATATACAGTAAGCTATAAGTAATATTGTGTTTAAATTAATAAATTGTTTTTTTTAATTAAAAAAATACTAAACATCTACAATATATATGAATAAAAAAAATATTTGATTAATAACAAGAAATAATTTACAATGAGAAACGAAAAAAAAATAACAAAACTCTCCGGCGGGGAATCGAACCCCGGTCTCCCGCGTGACAGGCGGGGATACTAACCACTATACTACCGAAGATGAGATATGTGCACTAATTTTTTTAATATAAATTATAGATAAAATTAATTTAAAAATATATATATAAAATACTTTATTTATAAATTGTAAATAATCATTGTTTATATAAGTAATACTAATTATTATCTATAAAAAAAATAAATATCAAATAATAATAGCAGTTGTTTGATAACTAGTAATTAATATTACTAAAGATAAATTACTAAAAATTATATCGATATGAATTAGTCAATTTATTTTAATAATTTTTTTTAAAAACTAAATGTTTATTATTATACTTTTAGAAAATATTTGATTAAAAATACTTTTCAAATAAATATATAATAATTTTTTATTATTAATTAACATTTAATGATCAGTTATGTCCACATCATGATTATATATGTACATTGTTTACATTAAATAAATATCTAAGTTTTTTATATTTGTAATTTAGTACACTTATTGCAAACAAAATAAAGTTAGTTTAATTGATGTATTAAATTATATAAAATAAATAAATAAATATTTCAAAAAATGTAGATGTATACTTTTATAATATATATATATATATACAGTATATATATAAACTATTACTTATAAATAATAAAATATTATAAATGTAAAATATTAATCATAAAATTATGCGTTAAATAAACAATATAAAAAGTAATAATAAATTAAGTTCATAGAAATCTATAAAATACATAAAATATATTTTTATAAAAAAACTAAAATTGTCATGGTAACATAAATGTACTTAAAAGTAATTAGCTAAAAGTTTTAATAACAGTGTAAATATAATTGAAATTTTATAGTAAAATATTTAAATAAAGTAATATAAAATTACTTTTATATAAAAAATATTAGTATAATTTACCTGTGTTTATGTGATTAAATTTCTATGAAAAAAGTTTCAAATTATTTTATTAAATTTCTTAAAAATAATTATTATATAAAAAATAAAAATATATAATGTTTATAAATATTTTTTATTATTATTTTAATTATTTAATATCACTATGTATTTTAAAATAAAATAATTTACTAATTCATAAATAGTTTTTAACATTAAATCAAATTATTATTAGAATAATTATATTTTATTTAAATCCAAATGTATAATCATTTAAATTATGTTTATTATATTTGTTATAATAATTACTTAATGCTTTCTTTATATAAAAAAATGTCATTATATTTAATAAAAT